TTGTGGACTTCGCTAAATGTAAACAAAGGTTGTGGACTTAGCTAAATGTAAACAAAAGGGTCATTGACTCCATAAAATGTAAACAAAGGGGTTATTGACCGCGGAAAAATGTAAATAAAAGGGTTATTAACCTCATAATGTAAACAAAAGGGTCATTGACCCCATAAAATGTAAACAAAAGGGTCAACGGCCTTAAATGTAAACAAAGGTTGTTGACTTGGCTAAATGTAAACAAAGGTTGTGGGCTTGGCTAAATGTAAACAAAGGTTGTTGACTTGGCTAAATGTAAACAAAGGTTGTGGACTTGGCTAAATGTAAACAAAAGGGTCGTTGACTCCATAAAATGTAAACCAAGGGGTTATTGACCTCGGAAAATTGTAAACAAAAGGGTCATTAACCTCATAATGTAAACAAAAGGGTCATTGACCCCATAAAATGTAAACAAAAGGGGCAACGGCCTGAAATGTAAACAAAGGTTGTTGACTTGGCTAAATGTAAACAATGGTTGTTGACTTGGCTAAATGTAAACTAAGGTTGTGGACTTGGCTAAATGTAAACAAAGGCTGTGGACTTGGATATATGTAAACCAAGGGGTCATTGACCTTAAATGTAATCATAGGTTGTGAAGTTGACTAAATGCAAAGAAAAGGGTCATTATTTAATAAAAATGTAAACAAAGGGGAACCTTGTGATTGCATTAACATTTTATTTTTTTAAAGATCTTTTTATGCCTTTAAATGCTGTTAGAACAGCTGAAGTTACCGTTTATTCTAGTTTATAAAAACCGCTTCTTATATAAGCGGTGCTATGTTATCGTGATGTCATTTGGTTGGGAAACTATCCATTGTGAACACTCTTCTCAGAAAGAACAAGCATGTGTGGCATATAAAATTCTTCACACAAATTATTTGCATTAAAAGTTTTGCTAACTTTATTTCTTTGCCAACGTATGATTAATAAATATTAATAAAAATTTAAAACAATATACAATATACAATATAAATAAAATGACTGCCGTGGCGCAACAGAAATATCACTGCGGTGAAGTGTTTGTTACCAATGATAACTACCGTGCGATGCTGGAGTGTAAGTTTTGTGGTAAACAATTTACTGCTTATGATAGGTTTCTGAATCACATCTTTGATGATCATTTTGATAATATTGATAATAAGGATTTCACAAATGAATCCCTCGAATTTGATGATATGGAGGTTTTGAAAGCTTTGGAGGATAGTGGAAATGCTGACGATTGCAATGAAGTAATTGAAGATTGTCAATATCCGGAAAACACATTTACCAATGGAGAAAGTGAATGTGGCTATGCGGGGAATGCAGAAAGCTTATCTACGGAAATATCGCTAGTCACGACAGAAGTAGACAAACAAACTACTAATGATGCAGAACAAACGGTAAGATATAAATTTAATATTGACTAAAAACATGTGAATATAATAAACAAATATTTAAACCACTCGTAGGAAACTATTGAGCAAAGTTCCGCTTCAAGCAATGCATCTTTCCGCCAGGTCGTTCAACATCATAAGACCCGTGATGGAGAAGAGCGAAAGTATAAATGCAAATTTTGTGACCAAGCTTTTGCGACAGCGTACATTTTACGCAAGCATGAACGGCGACATTCGAATAATAAACCATTTAGTTGTTCAAAATGTACCAAAAGATTTTTTACACCCACTGAGTTGAATACACACATTAGATGGCACACAGGCGAACGGCCTTTTGTATGTACCTTTTGTGGCAATAGCTATACCACAAATGGTGCGTTAAATATTCACGAAAAACGACATATTGGTGAACGAAAATATAAATGTGATCACTGTGAAAAAAGCTTCTATGAAGCATTCCATTTACGACAACACAGTGTAGTACATACAAGAGAAAAAAATTATACATGTGATCAATGCCAAGCAAAGTTTACAAGATCTACAGCATTGCGAATGCATAAGAAATTGCATGAAAATGCTTTGCGGTACATATGTAAAGTATGCAAAATGCGATTCAATCAGAGACCTACATTGATATGGCACGAAAAAAGCAAACATGCCATTTTACGGGGCGGTGTTGCATCTAGTATCATTACTGAAACAAATCCATCTAAGGAATTACCCGATATCGAGAATACGAAATATAAGTATGCGTGTTGTGATATTGAGTTTGAGGACAATGATTCATTTTTGAAGCACCAAAATGATGCGCACGCTGTTGAAGCCATAGCGACGTTGGAGACACTCGAAGCATCAGATAGTGAATATGTCGAATTTATTTAATACGTTTAGTGATTTGTGTGTTACTATTGATAAGTAAATACAATGAGATATCGGTAATCCAGTCAATAAAAAAATATTGAAATAAATATAAAAAATACAACACTGGAGAAAAAGATGCCATTTCTATAATGCTCACTAACTAGGACTGTCAACTCGGCAGTATTCTCAAAACTATTTTGGTTATATAATATGCCAAGGCTTTACAACAACAACCTATAGAATCGTTGGTTTAGCTTTATTTGTTATTGGATACATAATGTATTCTTTATTAACTAATAGAAACAAGGTCAGCATATCAATTCTTCAAACTCATTTTACTTTCGTATAAATTTATTATAGCATACCCATGTTATGGAAAGTGTTGAAGGCTCTTATTGTGTTAAATATGTATGTAATACATTGCTGGTTTTTTTTTTTTTTTCTAGTTATCGCTATTCACTACCGTAATTTCAAAACATAGATCATCTGCATGCGTTTGCAATTGCATTTGATCCGTTTGGTGTGTTACAAAATGATATTGCTTTTGTTCTTCCCCTTCCTCAGGTTGGTCCTCATTTTCGTTTGGTGGTTGTAGTAGTAATTCTTCCTCCTCTTCATGTTGTTGCAGCAATTGCTCTTCTTCCAATTTTCTTTGCGTGTTATTGCGACACTGTATTGATCGCTTGTGTGCGTCGAAATAACTTATATCTGTGAACTCCTCTTGGCAAATATCACAATGAAAATGACTTTGATTAAGATGCAATAGCTTACGATGTCGTGCCATTTTATGCGCATCTCGACACTGCATGCCACAAAAAGGACACACGAGCATACGTCTATTGCCCATATGTACATTGCGTACATGTTCCTGTAGTGAGAAATTCTTGTAGTACGCTTTGGGACAATGCTCACATTGGAAGCGTCTCATTTTTTCATGCGTAGACTCACGATGTCGCTTTAACATTGTATTTTGTGAAAACGTTTTTCCACATATTTCACATATGTGTTCTTTTTCCTGATGTCGTCGTTGATTGTGTACCCGTAGATCTTGTTTTGTGGAGAAATATAATTTGCATGGTTCGCATACATACGGTCTAATGCCCATGTGCCGCCGAGAGTGACCAGCCAAGTAACTGTGATCTTTGTATGATTTGTCACAATAAATACAGGCATATCGGTTCGTACCGGGAACCAAATGTGTTTTAAGGTGAGCAGAAAGCTTTGATTTATGCATCACATCAGGGCATATACCACATTCGACTGGTAACTTTTCGTCGGCTTCAGTGTTCGATAAGGAGAATTCAACAATAGGGGTATCATCAACATCATAGTCGACAATGTTGGCAACAAGTTCGTCAAAGAGCAGGTAACGTTTAGGGCCTTTATGTGAGTTAGTGGGTGAATGTTCTATTTCTGTTTTCGGCACAATTTCTTCTTTAATAAATTCGACATTAGTTGGCAATGTATCTTGCACTACCTCCACTAGACTATCGGCTACCTCGTATCCCTGCTCAGTGTCGTCCTCGTCGATTACCTCCATTATAATCGATTCAGGCTTAATTGATACATCATCCAGCTGTTCCACCTCCACCTCGTCTTCCTCTTCGTATATAAAGGTTTCCTCTTCCACAGAGTCGCAATCCTTAGTCAACTCAAACTCGATAAACTCGTCTATTTCTTCCACACCGTCGCACATTTTCTTTATTTATTATATTTTCTTAATACGTTATCTTAAATTCACTTTATTATAAGCAAAATATCTCATAAATTCTTTAACAGCGTCAGCAAAAGCGTGTGAAAGTGATGCAATGAAAAATGTTAATGATACTGTACGCAATCCGGTTACTTGTGATTTGTGAGTATTCGTAGACAGTGCGTATCACCGTTTAGTAGTTAATTAATTGTTTATAATAAATTTATAATATATGTAGATGCTCTTATTATTTGTTGACAAAAAAAAGTACTTTAAAATCCCGCCTTCGAAGAGTTGATTCCAGGATTGTAGGGAAACGGTGAGATGGCTAATAGAAGCACTAAAATACTTTTAATGCGTCACTGACTGATTCATTCACAATCGATAAATATGACGTTTTGTTAAAGTGTCAAAATGAATTAATTGTGAATAGGGTCTACGTTCACTGCGTAGTGTCAATAATGTCAGTGCAGAGGTGCATAGAATGGTGCTTTTTGCAAATTAATTAAATTTTTAAAATTATTTTTATGCTTTCTAATTGGTTGTGTGTTTGTTTCTAAAAAAAAAGAAATTTATTATTTAAATATTCTTCAATAGTTTGAAGTATGAACGATGATTACGAAAATAATCATGAGAAATTTTGCGTTAAAAATATCAATATCGATATTATTACATAAGGTGTGTATTTATTAATAATAGTATGCAAATTATTATTTTTATTTTTATAATGGCTTTTCTATATTAAGATTTATAACAATTGTTAGGAAATCAAAATATCGCTGAATCAATTTATTTTTACCTGAAGCAACAATAGACACAGAAGCTACTTAGAAGCCCGCCAAAACCAGCTATTGTGAGCGCTGGCCCAGCTGTTTTCAGTATATATTGTGAATACTAAGTGAATAAAATTATACAGGATTTCCTGTCGAATATTTCCTTTAAATTAATTCAGTTTACTGCACAATTTGTTAATTGTTTTGAATTTTATGATATCTATATGACAAACGACTACTTAACTACAGAATAACTGCTTTTTGCAGGCAAAAAGGTGATGAATAAGTAAGAGTTAAGCAGATACTTTATATTTGTATGTTTGAAATATGTCACGATTTGTTGCAAGTGTATGCTCGAAAAGTCAGAACTTAGCGGTTTTAGGCCAAATCAAGAAATTGTTATATAATATCTTTGCTCCGCCAAGTAATTGCATCCGCATATTTTTACGTGTACTCATGTGTGAATGTGTCACTAAAACAAATCACCGCTTGCCGGAAAATCGCCGCTAAGCGTAGTGGTATTCTCTCTAGCGCTTTAGACCGTTTTGTTTCTTTTGTTTTTGCATATATTTACATATATTAGCTTCAATTCTCACGACATTTCCACTATTATTTCATATGCGTAAGAATGCGCAATACTTGAAGTACGCTGCGTGTTACGTACTTAACAGTTATGGTACAAGTTCTTAACTTGTGTTACACATTTCTTCTTTTCTCCATACATTTTACTGCTCACAACACACGATCATACGCGCTGTGTGTGTGCACTTGTATACTATTTTATAATAGTGGTCTTAATGTGACACCCAATGCGGTAACTGCGTGCAATGAACGCATTAAAACTGACTTGGTATTATATTAGTGTACATATGTAATGCCTGGTACCAGCTTTAAGCCGAAGCTAATGACTGCATTTACTTAAGCTTATATAATTATTGATGAAGCGCCAAGTGTTTTCGGAAGTTGGCACTAACAAGATCCAACCGAAATGGGTGGCAGTTGTCGGATTTTATATTGACGCTACGGCGTCATGTGGCATTGCATTGAAGCATGCAAGTCATGTTATGCACTAACAGAAGGCACATACCCGCAACTATGGTTTAAACCACACACCAAAGGCGATAAAAAAGCACGCGTATGATTTTCAAGTCTCGCGTATAGTAACGCCACTATACATACATATGTATATCTGCCAGCGATTCATTCATTCATAGTTATTTGCAGGGCATGCAACAAACGCCATGTACTGAGAAATGTTAAGATATTTTAGCACTGCTGTTAACTTATTTCATTTTCTTGGAAGAGTTGCTTTGCTTTTATTTGCGGTGTCTGCTGTTCATTTTACCACTGCTGCTACCACTGCTACTGTTGTAGCTGGTAATTTTTCCTTCAACACAACAGCAACATCTGCATTTCTTCAAAGCCACTCGCTGGCCTGGCTTCGCTTATTATATTTTCACACTTGGCAGCGTTTGGTCGTTTGTTGTGCGCGTTAGCGTTTGCGTCTGCTTTGATTTGAAAAGCGCGTTATAATAACTTTTGCATTACGTATTTTGTGCTTAACGTCTTGCGAATATTTCACTGCTTAAGACTTCAGTTGCTTCCGTTCGAGCGCCGGTACATGCAATTCTCTAACAGCACTCCGCTGTTGTTTCATTTATTTATTTATTAGGCGTAAATTTTTGAAGTAAATATTGGTTTCTTATGTACGACGCGCAAATGTCAGGAAATTATTCAAACAAGTGCTCATAGAGTTTGTGCAAATAAACTGTTATCGATATGCGACTATAACTGTGAAACGCTAATAATAGAATTGAATGGATTGATGAATGATTGAGATAAAATAGTGCACATTAGCAGACACACTGATGAAAATTCTAACAAAAGTTAATTTAATATTGCCAGAACATATATCAAATGCATTGTGGTGAGTACAATTTATAAAAGCACAACAAAAACAGAAATAATTATAATAATGCTAGAGGCTTAACAAAAATTAGATATGTACTTGTTTTAAATTATGAAAGCTAAATTAATAAGTATTCGAAAAAAAAACGTTACTTTCGGCCATACCGAAGCTGTCATACTCTTCACAGGTACATTTCCTATAGCATAAAAGAGTATAAACAAATCTTTAACTTGATTTTTATCAGTCAGTTGGTATGACAGCCATATGCTATAGTGATTTGATCCGCAAAATTTATTCGGAAATTGTAGTGCTGCTTTGGACAATATTATACGCCAAATTTCGTGAAGATATCTTGTCAAATAAAAAAGGTTGCCATACAAAAACGTAATTTTTTGGGCTCAGTTTGTATGACAGCTATATGCGATAGTTGGCCGATAACTACGGTGCCGACGAACGAGCAGCGCTTTGGGGAGGAAAAGACGTGCGTAAAATTACAGAACGATATCACAAAAACTGAGAAACTATTAGGCGTATATACGGGCGTACAGACAGACGAACATGGCTAAATCGACTCCTATGTAGCATAAATATAGGAAGCACAACAAAAAGTCCATGACAATCAATAGCTTTTTTCACACGCCATCTCTGCGCGATGATATTGAATTTAATTAACTGCCCGTGGCATATTTACTCAATTGACAGCAACAAATGCGATGTTAAGGGCCTAATAGAATGCGCTACGATGCGCCAATAATTACGAAAAGCGCTACGTCATGCCGATTCATTGCGCATAGTGCAATTCGTATAACTGCATATTTCAATTTGTGCGCTTGCTAGAGGCCATTTAAAAGAAATAAAGCTAATAAAGTAAAATAACCTAAAAAAATTGAAAACAAATTATTATGTCAGTAGTGAACAGTGAACATTGACCGATGGTGTCCAGCGTGATGGTGAAGATGATCGGGCAAAAAAGAATAATAAATAAAAGTAATGATTGAAAAAAAATTTGTTTGTGATAAAAAAACGAGATGAAATTGTGGCTTAACTTGGCCTAACGGTTGTATGCGCAGTGATTGATCAAAGGTTCAACTGACAATATACACGCAAATATGTAGTCATACATATCACTACATGACTGGTTATGCTTTAAAGATAGTTACGTTAATTACGTTATATACCCTTAGGCTAACTATATTCATTACATACTTTTGTTGACGCCTCCTTTTTTTCTACTTTTATGCGATTTCTTCATTAATTTAGCTCATCAATTTGAATTTTGCGTTCATCTCGAAAAGCGAACGCATACGCCAAAATCAATACATATTACTTAATCAGCAAACTGTTAAACAACAAACGCAGCGGTGACTATATTTTTGTTGGCCGTGTCTTTTTTTCGCTCTTTCATAATGTTATCTTCAGCTAACAGTGTACCCCAAAGTATTATAAAATTATTATATTGTATATGCATTTAGCTTTGGCGATATTTATTTTTGCTCTTTTGTTGAAGGTTTCACTCAAGTTCGTATTTGGATAAAATAAATATTTAGGTATTTAGCTAAATAACTCTGCGCATTGGTATTTCGCAAAATTTGTCAAAGATTTGGACATTATTGGCCGAGTCAAATGATGTTTTACCGAAAGACGGGCAAGGTTTTGTGTTTATTTTATTCTAGAAAATCACATACATACATACATACATATAAATCAATCGATACACTATATACTAAAGTAGGGTGTAAATTTCGTTGTCGATAAAAAATTAGTGTGCTTTTTCAATAAAAAGTTAAATCAAGATGAAAAAATAAAGATTTTAAATTATAGTGTGTTTGTGACATAAAAAGGTTAGGTTAAAGGAGTAACCAAATTGCTTACAGAAAAAAAATTTTGTTTCAAGATAAACATGAAAAACCAAAAACTCAAATATTTGAAATTTTCACATAAATTATGAGAATATGTTAAAAAGTTGTCAATACAACGGTCTATATATTTTTATTAGCTACAACTTTACAATTTAGCTTTTTTTCATAGGATTTGTAAGGATTTGCTCTTAAGCAGTCTTATATCTGTTGTTGTTGTTGTAGCGGCCAAAAAAATTTCGGCAGTAATTTGAAGGTATGCTGCCGAGTTGACAGTTCTTGGTCGTTTAAAAGTTCGGTAGCGTTTCTGTTAAGTAGACCCAGCTGTCGTAGGAACGACCAATTTCTATTTACTCCATTTCTTGATTAATAATCTTTACAAATTCGAAAAGAAGCTCAGCTTAGCATTTAGCAAAAGTCTAAGCAGCAAATAAGTCTATATATAAATAGAATAAAGTATGTATGTATATCTACATAAAATCATATTTGCATTAATTACTAGAAGCATGCACGTAAAGCCCGTATTGTTTGATTAATTTAATAATAGAAAATGTTCATTCTTCTAAAAGCTGCGCAGCTGCACACAAAACGTTATCTATGTAAAAGCGACATTTTATTGTTATTGTAATTTTATTTGTCTAAATAGAAAATGCTAAGCCGTGTTAAAATCACCATTAACAAAATTTTAAGCCTTTTAAATTATTACTATCAACATTGAATACTTGTAATTTATATTAAACGACAAAATAAAATAAATTTCGGATTTTCTTTTAATAATTTTATCATTTATTTGTATTGTTGCTTCTTGTTTCCAAAATAACCTTCAGCTGTATACTGCCACTGGATGGCGGCTTTAATAAATGATGCTTATGCTTGCATTGTTTGTGCTGCTGTCAATTGACATTTTTTGAGTGAAACATACACACAACAAAGTCCAGCTGTCAGTTGTTTGACTGTTTGTTTATTTATTATGCCGCCCCATTGGGCGCTGCAGACAATTTGCATTTGTAATTAAATGCCTCGAAGTGGCTTAGTTAAGATTTTGAAATTTTTGAATAAAGCCACTTAAATGTATTTGTACAAAGTGCTTACATATTTGTATTAACATACTTACATAGCTATTTGCATTGGCAAGTGCCACATATATTTGTTGGGCCAACGTCTTTTGTGCGGAAATTTAGGGCAGCGCCGTGGTGTTTGTTGGCTAAAAAGCCATCTCTAAAACGCTGCACGTTGTGGTTTGTTGCTTTGGGTTCATAATGTTTTTGTTGCAGCCACAATGCTGCTGTTTCCCAGCCACTTTTTGTCACGCTGAATTTGCATGTCGCTGGGATTTTTTAAACGCTGCTGCTAATTTTAAATTGGAGCATTTGCATTATGATGAATTGGCGGTTGAATTGAAGTGGTAGAGCACAACAAAAAGCTAAAACAAAAAATTAAAAAAAAATTGTTAAAAAACAAACAATGTAAGTTAATAATACCTAACAATTAGTGCTGACAACGACTTATGCGAGCGCGTATATTTATATACAAACATATCTGGTATATGGTACGCATAATAACCGGTTCCGGTGACAAGACGTGTGAATGCAGTTAGCTATGGGCTATGTGCGTGTGCTAAAAAAATTATCAACTTAATCTCTTAGCGACTAGTTATTTAATTTGTATTTAATTATATGCGAAATGAATGCTCTAAGTTGAGCGTGAAAAATTAAAAAAAAACATTATTTCAAATTTCAATTTTAAAATATTGAACCACTTATTGTTTGAACTGCAGTGCCTTTGGTTTTTTGTTTAGTTCCTTTTGGTTGGAGTATATTCTAAACAGTATATATTAATGATATTAATGTGAACTAGTTTTTGGGATATTGATATGAAATTTTACACGCGTCGTTTTCTCACCAAGTAGCTGCTTATTTATTGAAATCGCCGATATCTGACCACTATAAGATATAGCTGCCATACAAACTGAACGATCGGAATCAAGTGCTTGTATGGAAAACTCTTTTATTTGAGGAGATATCTTGACGATATTTGGCAGATATTATAGCTTAAGACAACACTACAAACGCTAAACAAAATATGCAGTTCGGAGCACTATAACATGTAGCTGCCATACAAACTGACCGTTCAAAGTCAAGATAAAGCTGTCTTTATACCCTTTTATGCTATAAAAAATGCAAATGTGAAGTGTATATCAAATATATCTACATACATCTTTAGGTTTTATATTTCATGAAAGATTTTCGTATAAAAAAAGTAATTTGTTTACACTACGGTCTCTGCGCTCTTGAAACTTAGAAATCCGCAAAACACGTTATTTTTTAGAAATTGCTATTTTAGGTAGCTCTAGACACCTTTTTCATCAATATATAAGACGCTTTTTCACTTTTTTTGCCTACCCTTAGCATTTATTTAAATTTTTAATTAGAATTATGTTTTCTTCAATTTCAGAATTTTTACTTTTGACCGTTAATCCGTAAAACCGCAACAGCTGCTTTACAAGAACATCTCCATTTAGCTACAACTGGCAGCCAAGCGCAACGACGTCAGGCGCCTGCTACGTCGTGTCGAAGTGAACGAGCGACGACAACAGAAAAACGAAGCTCTAAAAAAAGCAACGTTATTTGTTAGTAAGCCGTGTGAGCAACGCAGGAGGGTAACATAGATGCAGAAAGAACTAAACTAATATTGCTAATCTCAAAGAAAATTGACATTAGCAGCAACGACAACAACCACGCACGAACACGCTCAACTTAGCTGCTGCAACGCACATAGTAATCACAATACCATAACCCACAAGTTAAACAACAGCAACAGTTGCTGTTGTTGTTCTTGCCGTCATATTATTTGCTTAGCGGTATTTAAAACGAAGTACTCATGTTCTTGCAACGTCTGCGCATGTCACTCAGCGTGTTGCAGCTGCCGCTGGCATTGTCACTGCTGTTAATGTGTCACGGTGTCTGGGCAAACAGAACGGCAAACGCGTCGGTTGCTTTAAAAGCTGCCGCAACGCCAACAACTGCGCCATCATTGGTTGCACCTTTGGTTTCATCATCGGAAGCCACGCTTCTAACCACGCAGCGTCTATTTCCGACAAGCACGACAACAACATTCTCAGCAGCGCATGCTAGACAGGCGCGCGCACGTCATCGCTACGATGATGAAGTAGCGGATGTGGAGTACGTACAGCCACATGCGACGACTAACACCGTCAAAGCGTTCGCTGCCTCTAAAATTGGGCGCAATGTTGGTAATCTGCCAAAGAAGCGCTATAAAGTGCTGGCCGTGCATACGAATTGTACGCGTGACCTCTTCACGATGCGCATCGATTTGAATCGCGACTTCCGTGGCCTTGTCTACGCCAAGGACTTTCCATTAGAATGCAGCGCGCGCGGCAACGCACATCAAAATGTCACTTTGCGGCTGCCCACATCCGGTTGCGGTGTGCGCGCTGAGCCGCGCGCAGATGGCGTTATGGAGTTGTCTGTGCGCGTGATGTTGCAGATGGAGCAAAAGCTGCGCCAAAGCTCAGATATATTGCGTACGGTGCGCTGTAAGCTGCCGCCGACAGCGATGGGCATGATGGTGGGGCCGATAGCGGGCATGGTGAACAAAAGGGCTAGAATAAAAGCGGGGCAAGAGTGGAAAGTGGCATCGAATTATAGGTAAGTTGTGTTGTTGTACAAGCGATTTGTGTGCTAACAACGGTTTACTACGTTTACAACAGAAACGGACGCATGCGCACACTCAACGCGGCGCAAAAGCATAATAACCATGTAACAGCTGCCACCGAAGCGCTTGATAATGAAGACTTCACCGACGCGCCACAAGCGGAAGCGTCTAATATTGAAGCGCAAACATTGAAGGAACAAACGGCTGTTAATGCAGAACAAGAAGAGCAAATCGCCGCGACCGCCAAAACTTCTGAATCATTAACAAAGCTAGCGAGCGGCAGCGACGATGTCAGCGTTGGCGCTGGTGATGGTGTTGCTTCAACTAGCGGGACCAACAGCAACGCCACACCGCGCGTGCGCATTTGGCTTGAATTAGGCGGCCTTGACGGCACCGGCGCGGTAGAAGTGGGCCAAGCCACCACGTTAACTGTGCGCGCTATAGTGCCCGGCAGCATGGGTGTGCGCGTGGTGGATTGCGCAGCGCTCGACGGACTGGGTGAGTCGAAGCAGCAGCTGTTGGACGAACGTGGCTGCACAATAGATGAGCAGGTGAGTGGGCGGCAGCAAGCGCATATATAAATAGTTAATATGCGAAATATTTTATTGGCATAGAGTGGCAAGGTTAGCTGTAAAGGTTTTAGAAAAAATAAACGCGGCCAAGTGGGGTGGTGCGTGTATAAATAGTTTCTAATAGCGTTCATGCCTCGTTGAATACGTGGATTTATCAACAGCTCCCTGCAAACGTGGGTTAACATCAAACGATCGCGACTAGTCACTAGCAGCGAAAAACTGGTTTAAAGATATCTTTAATGATTTTTAATCTCTTGCAAATATTTATTTATGCTAATTCTGTTAGGCGCCGTTACCGACTCATTGTAAGACGTTATAAAAAACAACGCGATGCGTCACGCATGCGTATTTAAACGAAATAATTTGCCAGATAATGATCGCAGAAAGAAGTTTTTGATAATTATTCAGATTTTTTAAGTCACTCTGAGTGTAAATTTTTTTTTTAAATATCTACGATTTTTTTGGGAAGCTGTCATTTTGTCAAAAATCAAAATTCTGACAAGTACTCCGATCATTACCTAATTCATCTATAGTTACAATATTTTTGTTTTGTTTTGGAATTAGCGATAATTTTAAACAGAAAAATCTCTCTTACTGCCAGACATCTTTTTTCGGTGACCTTCCTGGAGATTGGCTACGGGATCAACACAAATTATATTTACCGTATATGCGCATTTTTTTTAACAAAAATATTCCAAAGTTTCATTAAAAACGCGTTTCTTAAATTGCAAGTGGTTATAACATAACCACTCATTTAATCAATTTAATAGTCATTCACATGTTTACTAGATATTTAACCCACATTCATGTAAATTACACGTTGACGTTGACGTTATCTTTTTTCTAATTTTCTTCTTTTTAAAAGCAACCTAACCAATAATGCTTAATTTTTGGTTATCTTTTGTCTTAATAAAGCAACCGTTATGAATGTAGTAAGAAAGATATTTGAGGTCTTTGATAAATTAGCACGATTAGCGTAGCTAATGATTTGGTGATTACCAAGAGTGGTGACCATTACGAAAACGAACAGTGCGGAAGAAACAGAAAACAATAAAACTTTCATTTTTAATACAAACTTGATGTGCGCTTCTTATTATTATATATATTTTTTTTTAGATTTCTCTTCCTCAGCACAGTTTTGGTTCTTATGCTAGGCAAAATATTGTTGTTACAACTCATTTTCTATAGTACCGCTATTTTTAGTCGTTCGCAAACGAATTCGCGTGAAATTTCTCTCAATTCAAACATTCAAATTTGGGGCTATCACTGTTATTTTGCCATAGAAAACTGTTGATTATTACCATATACACATAGCTGCTTTTGTTTAACTGATCGATCAGCTTATTATTATTTTATCAATTTGAAATTTATTAAATTTTTAAGTTAAATTATGTGGTGAATTGCTTCTAAATCTTGCTTGCCTTTATAACAGTTTCAGTTATGTTATTTTAATGTCAATGGAAAATTTACATTAAAGAAGCAGAGAATGTTAATGAATAGGCATAGAATGTTAAGAATTAAGAATTAACATTCTCTGTAAGAAATATGTATGTAAATGACGACTGCGCTGTTATTTACATATTTCATTATATAGAAAAGTGATATTCGGAGAAAGTGTGAAATTGTTAAAAATTTAATAAAATATAATATTAAGTTTAAAAAAAAATTGATAAGCGTGACGAGCAGCAACGATTTAGCTATGTCCCTCTGTATATAAGCGAACTAGTCCTTCAGTTTTTGAGCTATCGATCTGAAATTTTGTACACAGCCTTTTCTTCTCAAGAAGCTGCTCATTTGTTGGAAACGTCGATATCAGACCACTATAGAGCATAGCTGCCATGCAAACTGATCTATAAAAATCAAGTCCTTGTATACATTTTTTTTATCTGACAAGTTATCTTCACGAAATTCAATATATATTATTATTCAAGATAATGCTATAATTCCTAAACACATTTTTCAGTTTGGAACACTATAGCGTATAGCCGTCATACAAAATGACCGATCAAAATCAAGTTCTTGTATGTAAAACTATTTTATTTGTCTAGATATCTTCTCGAAATTTGGCACAGATACTTGCCTAAGACAGCACTATGATTTTCGAAGTTAGCGTTTTTCTGTTTTTTTTTCTGCTATTTAATTTATTTCTTTGATGGCAACACTTTCTTGTACTAATAAATCTTGCCTAAAGGTCAACACTTTTCCACAGCTGTGCAAATTAAATGACATTTTGACACTTGAAAGTGGCGTAAATAAATAGGGAAGCACCTTTGCGGTAAATTTTCGCGCGAAAATTGAGCGACAAACATATACACAGAATTAATTGAGATGAATAAGCATAAATACAGAAACAAATATACAATCAAACATATGCATATGTATGAATAAAGGCGAGTAGCAATAAATTAACGGCACTACTGACATCTCTGACCTCCTAACCAAAACGAAAGCGAAATGAAAATGAAAATCAAAACAATGAAAATCTATTTAAAACATATTAAACGGGTTGTGCGCCGAGAATGAGAATGGGAAATCACGCGCTGCGTGCGCCACAACTTGAACGGCTATTCTTCTGCTGCGCGTGTTTAATCTATTGCAGCTACGCGCAACTGAAATAATTTATGTGCTACAAACATACACACACACTACAAACAACTTAACTTATACTTTTATGCTGTGTACTCAACACAATGGGCGCTTACTGCGCGGAATGACTTGACGACGGCAATGGAAATGCAAATGCGCGCGCGCGCACTGGCGCATCAAGAAACAATTAAAGCCGGCTCATAGCTATTGAGTCGCATAGCTGCCACACGCTTTAGGCCGACGTTTACCACATTTAAACAGTTGCTGTGGCTAGACAATGGCAGAATCTTCTCTGCTGACCCATTTCTTGCGCTGAGAGACAATGCCAGCGGGATGTTGCTATGTATGCGCATTGTGTGTGTGTGTGTGTCTGGAGAATTCGTGCCAAATATGCTAATGGAAAATATTTCACTCATGGCTAATTATTGTGACCTCTTAATCTACTCAACTATGCGCAGCGCTGCAAGAAAAATTAAAATATCACAAAAAAAAACAATTACAAACAACTATTTTCACGACGCTTTCTTGCTCGCGCTAAGCCAACAACTTCCCAAAACCTTAATAAAACAAAGCTATATACAAATACACACACACACGCGCGCATAGAACAAGTGTAATGCGCAGGCGTGTGGCTAAAACAAACTCAACCAAAGCGCTGCATAATTTAATTGCTTTGTAACTGCATAACCAACCAAAAACAATAACAATAATAGCGTAATGTGTCTGTTATGCAGTGGAAAAAATTGAAAAAATAAAGATAATAGACAAACTGTTCTAACATTTAGCATAATTAGACGAAAGCGTTGTAACAGCAAAGAGGCGTGTGGACGTGCAACTTAGTGGAATAGTGCCACAGGCAGGCATAACCGCAAGCTTAAAATAGCGTGGAAGCGTTAGTTGCAACCCATTTACCTAGCACTTTACAGATATAATAATAATGTGTGCCTTTTATACAACGTTTAGCGGTCGTGTGGTAGGAAAATTGTTGAAATGAATGAAGCAATTTTTTGTCCAAATACACCGCAATACACCGTTTAGAAATAATTGTGTGACGAATTTTGGTCCAGATAAAGTTGTAAACGTTTTGAAATATACGACATATGTGAGCGCATGTTTTTTTTTAGAGATATAGATGGCATAAAAAAACCTTTATCTTGTTGCTATAGTAGTCTGATATGAACAATTTGAGAAAAGTCCTGTGTAAAAATTCAAATCGATAACTCAAAAACTGCTCGTCATGCTGTTCATATACACATACACTTTACAGGCCCATCGACGTTTCTCTCTGGGAAATATTCTCTCCATAAATGAAATGCTCTGATCGTCGGTTGCGAGCACTTCACTCTTGTTCTTACGATAATTTAACACAATTTCGAAAATTCTACGGCTTTTATTGAAATTTTCGAGCTCTCTTCCCGCCTAACCCTGTCTGCAAGGTATTCATACCAGTGTTTAACGGTTTCTCTACTGAGCGATAAATTCTGCGCAAAATTGTGGTAGTTGCGTTTTGGCCTTAAGGCGCAAAAATAACAACAGAATTATGTAGCGCTGCTGTAAACTGTTTCTATCACACCATTCATTGTTTATAGCAGCGAGCTGAACTGGTATTGTTTTCTTCTTTAATACGATATTATATAAGTTTAAACAGTAAATCAACTCGCTTCTAATTTCTTAATTTAAGATTGTGAATTTAGACCGCATGATTAAGGGGTTACATGGGTTTCACGATTTCAAAAAACAAAAAAAAATAATTTATTGTGTTAATTAATTCTATAACATCTCTAGAATCTTGTCCTAAATTCTAAAGTTGTTACCAGTAATAGTTTTGTAGGTACAGCTTTGAAAAGTTGCGCGCTCGAGGTCTCGAAACTGTGTTTTCCAAGTTGTTTGTCAAGATTTCTCGCAAACTACTCAACCGATCTTAATGAAATTTTACACAGGTTTTCGGTATGTAATTTACAAGATGTTGAATACAACTACATCAATCTTCTTTTAATTACAATTCTTTGAAACAAAAAAATGTCGAGTAATTTTCAACAAAATTTGCATTTTTTAAACGTCTGCCAAAACTACAATTTTCACTTTCTTTATTTTTTCTACGTTCAATATCTAGTTATTGGTCTTAGTTCAAACACGTTTTTTGTTTGTTAATTTGATGATGCTGTCAACGCGGAAGCACATTTTTTCCGAAGGACTGCCGAAATGACGTCGTAATGAACGACTTTTGAATATTTTCCTTTGAAAATTTCACAAAATCTTTATAAAATATGTATCTTTGCAATAATAAAAAATTTGAATAAAATATTTAATTTTTTATATAAAAAAAAAATAAAAAATAGGGCGTTTTTTGCGCGTCGAAACTTATGTACCCCTTAAAGCGAGCAGCTACAAGATAGAACTTAACTTTGCGCGCTAATTCTAAATGTAAGTGGCATCAGTGTGAGAGGTTAAGAAGAAGAAGAAACGTTGTTGTTTTTTTTTCCAAGCCAACCCCTTAGATGTAGTAAAAAAATCCAGTAAGCGAAGCTTTGCACCAAACTAAAGCCATAAATATGGTACTGAACTCTGCATGCACTTCCGTTTTCGCTGTTGTCGTGATTCACCACTGAAGTCGCATCCAGCAGCGCGGATTGTATTTCTTATTATTAAATCATAGTTTTTTCCGACACCTCGTTGCTACCATTTCCGTCAATATACGTACGTACATATGTGAGTGGAGCTGCGCCGCGCATTGTTGTTGCTGCTACATGGCGCGCTTTTGTTTCGCATTTTTTCGCCGTTTCACACTTTTATCTCATTGTAAAGCGTGCATTTTTTCACACATCTATTACGCTTGACAAACCAAAGCGTTGCCAACTGCAGCATAGTAATATATGTACACTTTTGTATGCGCGTAATTTACACCCGCCTTATGATTATCCAGCTATTATGGAAGAAACATTGAACTTGACACATGTCTGCATTTGCCGCAAATGCATGCGACGTCTGCGTCTCGTCTATGTACTCGCCTCAACTCCATTGTTGTAGTATTTACTCGTATTCACATTGTTACGGGCATTTACGTAGGCAATTGTCATTGTTGACGTTACGATATTTGATAGGGCATTGACGTATGCACATATTTGATTACGTTGACTGATCGCTGGCATAAGTTTCATATACATACATATATAGCTGTGGAGCAAAGTGCTTAACCGGAAAGCGTTGCAGTGCTGCAAGGCATATTATATTACAAGAATCGTTGGTACTTCTTTAAGTGAACGAAGAGTTACGAACGTTGTGAACGCAAGATCCTTTCAGCTTCCATAAAGAAAGTTACATGCAAGTATGATTTGACAGTAGATTTCGGCATTGCTATTGAGTCGATGGTAGCTAACTCGAAATTATTTACGTAGTTTTGACAGAAGTATGGAAAACCACTGTTATGTTTGTTAATATGTATTTAGCTATGTGCTTATGAAGAAAGCTCCGTTAAAATGCGCGAAAACGTAAGTTCATTAAACCTGTTAACACATTTCTCATACCGTTGGATGTTACGTTACGCTTCATATAGTGCAACTCGTAAAATAAATAACGAAATACAAATACAACAAAAAACAACATTGTGCTGTTCAAAGCAGAGTAATAAAGACATTTCTGAGTTATGAGCGCGAATTCAAAATAAATTCGATTTTACAGTAACAGCTACAATAGACTTACGTGTGCATGTACCGTTAGAAATTTAAAAAGGGTAATGTTATTTAAACATTTATATTTTTGCGTTTCAATTTAAGTGCTATTATGCAAATATTCCACTTTTTAAGACACCGTTACTTTATTAATACGATTTCCCTACATTTCCAGGTCATGCCACCGTTGAACAAGCACTTCAAACCGTTGGACGAGGGCTGGTCCAAGCAACAGCCGGACGATTTGATGGAGAAAACATTCACGGCCACATTTCCAGCCTTCAAATTTCCCGATCGCGAGCGCTTGCATGTGAGTTGTGGCGTGCAGCTCTGCAAGGGCAAGTGTCCGAATGTGAGTAGAGATTTAGATTTAAAAAAAAAAACCAAAAAAAAATATTTGCAAGCGGAACGCTTTTTTTTACAAAAAAAAAAAAAAACACAACAAGTAATTCTACTCAGTTCGGCCCACTATAGCATATAGCTGGAATCTATTGTATTTCTTGCTCAACAATATAAGCGAACTGAAAGTTAACGAAAGCAGACCAATAATTATAAATAATTATGATCATTAGTATGGTTAAAATTGAGTAGGTCACCCCGTTACTTACAAATGTGTCACATGAGAGTCACCTAAGCACTGGCCAGGCACAGCTCGTGCTTTCCTTATATAGAGCCAGCTGCCAGCCAGCTCGCCGTGAGCTCACTTCATGACTTTTAAATCACATCCCATCGCGGCGTGAGAAACACCTAAGCACTGGCCAGGCACGGCACTTGCTTTTCTTATATAGGGCCAGCTGCCAGCCAGCTCGCCGTGAGCTCACTTCATGACTTTTAAATCACATCCCATCGCGGCGTGAGAGTCACCTAAGCACTGCCCAGGCACGGCGCTTGCTTTTCTTATATAGAGCCAGCTGCCAGCCAGCTTCCCGTGAGCTCACCTCACGACTTTTAAATCACAGCACATCGAGGCGGGAGAGTCACCTAAGCACTGGCCAGGCACGGCACTTGCTTCTCTTATATAGGGCCAGCTGCCAGCCAGCTCGCCGTGAGCTCACTTCATGACTTTTAAATCACATCCCATCGCGGCGTGAGAGTCACCTAAGCACTGGCCAGGCACGGCACTTGCTTTTCTTATATAGGGCCAGCTGCCAGCCAGCTCGCCGTGAGCTCACTTCATGACTTTTAAATCACATCCCATCGCGGCGTGAGAGTCACCTAAGCACTGGCCAGGCACGGCACTTGCTTTTCTTATATAGGGCCAGCTGCCAGCCAGCTCGCCGTGAGCTCACTTCATGACTTTTAAATCACATCCCATCGCGGCGTGAGAGTCACCTAAGCACTGCTCAGCACGGCGCTTGCTTTTCTTATATAGAGCCAGCTGCAGCCAGTTCCGTGAGCTCACCTCATGACTTTTAAATCACAGCACATCGAGGCGGGGAGTCACCTAAGCACTGGCCAGGCACGGCACTTGCTTCTCTTTATAGGGCCAGCTGCCAGCCAGCTCGCCGTGAGCTCACTTCATGACTTTTAAATCACATCCCATCGCGGCGTGAGAGTCACCTAAGCACTGGCCAGGCACGGCACTTGCTTGTCTTATATAGAGCCAGCTGCCAGCCAGCTTCCCGTGAGCTCACTTCATGACTTTTAAATCACATCACATCGCGGCGTGAGGTCACCTAAGCACTGGCCAGGCACGGCACTTGCTTTTCTTATATAGGGCCAGCTGCCAGCCAGCTCGCCGTGAGCTCACTTCATGACTTTTAAATCACATCCCATCGCGGCGTGAGAGTCACCTAAGCACTGGTCAGGCACATCCCATCGCGGCGTGAGAGTCACCTAAGCACTGGCCAGGCACGGCACTTGCTTTTCTTATATAGAGCCAGCTGCCAGCCAGCTTCCCGTGAGCTCACTTCATGACTTTTAAATCACATTACATCGCGGCGTGAGGTCACCTAAGCACTGGCCAGGCACGGCACTTGCTTTTCTCAGCTAGGGCCAGCTGCCAGCCAGCTCGCCGTGAGCTCACTTCATGACTTTTAAATCACATCCCATCGCGGCGTGAGAAACACCTAAGTACTGGGCAGGCACGGCACTTGCTTTTCTTATATAGAGCCAGCTGCCAGCCAGCTTCCCGTGAGCTCACCTCATGACTTTTAAATCACAGCACATCGAGATGCGAGAGTCACCTAAGCACTGGCCAGGCACGGCACTTGCTTTTCTTATATAGAGCCAGCTGCCAGCCAGCTTCCCGTGAGCTCACCTCATGACTTTTAAATCACAGCACATCGAGGCGTGAGAGTCACCTAAGCACTGGCCAGGCACGGCACTTGCTTTTCTTATATAGAACCAGCTGCCAGCCAGCAACCCGTGAGCTCACCTCATGATTTTTAAATCACAGCACATCCCGGCATGAGAGTCACCTAAGCACTGGCCAGGCACGGCACTTGCTTTTCTTATATAGAGCCAGCTGCCAGCCAGCTTCCCGTGAGCTCACCTCATGACTTTTAAATCACAGCACATCGAGATGCGAGAGTCACCTAAGCACTGGCCAGGCACGGCACTTGCTTCTCTTATATAGAGCCAGATGCCAGCCAGCAACCCGTGAGCTCACCTCATGACTTTTAAATCACAGCTCATCCCGGCATGAGAGTCACCTAAGCACTGGCCAGGCACGGCACTTGCATTTCTTATATAGAGCCAGCTGCCAGCCAGCTTCCCGTGAGCTCACCTCATGACTTTTAAATCCCAGCACATGGATATGCGAGAGTCACCTAAGCAATGGCCAGCTACGGTGCCAACCAGCTATATTGTTCAGTTCGGACCATTATAGCATATAGCTGCCTTGCCGCTTTTTATTTGGATATTCACGAAATTCGGCATAGATTATTATTCAAGAAATCTGTAAAAGATATTACAGTTTCAATGCAGCGCAAGTTAATTTTATTCTTGTTAATATTATTTTAAAGCCAAAGCAATGCTATAAGCATTATGTTTCTAAGTCAGTTGAGTTGAAAAACGTGTCAAAAGCTAAAAAAAAAAATATGGAATAATAAAGCAAAACAAGAAAAAAAAATACGGAAATGGTTAGGTCTTCAGTACTGGTCGTCAAACACTACGCTGGCTTTCTAACATGAAAAGCGCCCTTCAGCTATTCAGAGTCGACTTTAAACTTATGAGATTTTCAGCACCTTATTTAGCGCTCTTTTATAATTGGTTTATCTATCGAACCTGCTGTATGTTTCTCAGTTTTCTTGAATATTGTAATAAAATGTGTGTACAGACCTACATAAATAGTCATATTATGGCATGGAAAATGTTTATGCAAAACTTAACCTCAAAAAATTGTTTTTTTGTTTTAAAGGACAGCGGCGTTTTCCAAGCGCATTGTTAGACAATGTGTGTGCATAATTTTGCCAAAAAAAATCCAATTAGTAGTCGTTAATGGAATTTTATGTTGCTTTTAAGTATAATTCAATGTCATTAAAAAAAATAATAAATAAACAAATTTAAAAAAAACGAAAATAAAAACAATTTTACGACGATTTCGCGCTAGTCATTGTTTTAACTGTAAATCAGCGATTGCTTGCCAACAAACGGCAATAAAAACAATTAAAACATAACAAAATATGAATTTCATAATGATTTGCAAGCGTTTTACAACAAAAAAATTAATACTCATATATATGAAAATGTGCGTGTATATACATAGTTATATATGTATGTGTGTCAAAATCTAGATAAGTCTTTTGTAATTCAATTGTAATGCAGATATGTATGTATGTGTGATTTTCGGACTGCCACAATTCTTGCGCGAGTTGAATGAAACGCGCTCTTGCAACAACAATTATGTTGACTACAGGGCTGGAATGACCACTTGTTTGGCTGTTACCAGCAACAAAACGTTACACATGGTTATTTTTTTTTTTTTTTTTTGACAAGTTGGCGTGAGCCAGCAATGCTTTGCGGGCATTTACACGCTGCAAAGTCATTGTGTTTACTTTTTGCTTGCACACACATATGCAAACATTTGTAAATTTTCAGTAATTCAACTGCTACACATTTCGGCAGTAGGCGCAGCGTTGGCGTTGTGCACGCATGCGCGTTGCACAAAGACGCTAGGCAACAAGCTGCCGCACTGATGAGCGCGTAGTAAGACTTAGCAGTAATCTAATGTTATTTTAGCTTTTGTAGCAGCTGCTGTTCGCTATATTGTTGTTTTTGTTAGCATTTCTGTTTGTTGCTGCAATGTTTGCTACTTGTTAATGCGCGTAATTAAGCGATACTCGCTTGGCAGCGCGACTCGAGGCCAATTAACTCGCTTGCAAATGCTGAAATTGAAAGCAAAAACAAAAAAAAATATATTTTTCTATTTATTAGTTTTTAATTATTACTAGCATTCATGCTTTTTACTGCAAATTTCGATTTCATTTCGAATTTTTGCCGTACTCATTTGTACTCGCCTGCACAATTAAAAGCATTTTTCCATAAAAATTTTATTTTGATTTTTTTATTTTCATGTCAGGTGAATTGTCGCAGCTCGGAACCGTTACAACTGAGCGCTGACAAGCACTTAGCACGCATCGAAGTCTTCAATTCACTGGCGGTGACGGCACCGCAAATTGAAGTGGACCGATTACGCTACGATCGACGCTATAACATGAGCGGTAAGTGATGTGGCAGCTATTAGCGCTAGCTCTGAAAATACTCACGCCAATTGTTGCACAAAGTCTATTCCTAACGGTTGTTTATAACGCTTATTCAATTTGAGTAATAGTATAGTAGCTAAATGTGTACATCAAAATGCCCCAGATAAAATATGAATTACAATAATTTCCGCAGATTGTCTATACGCCTGTCTCCGTAGCTGACTTTTCGGTTGCAATCGTATTTAAGCCTACCTTAATTGTTATAAGCTAAACTGGATATATTATATTAAGTTTGCCACGAAATTTGTAACACCAAAAAGGGAACGACCCTGTAAAGTATATTCTCGTACATACATAAATGATCAGCGTGGCGAGCTGACTCGATTTAGCCATACCCGTCTGTCTGTTTGTCTGTCTATGCGCGCAAAAGTGCCCCGATTTTTGAGATATCGATCTGAAATTTTGCACAAGGCCTTTGCTGCCCAAGAAGCTGCTCATTTGTCGGAACGGTCGATATCGGACCACTATAGCATATGGCTGCCATACAAACTGAACAATCGGAATTAAGTGCTTGTATGGAAAAATTTTTTATTTGTAGAAGTATCTTCACGAAATTCGGCATAGATTATATTTGAACTCAACGCTAGCAGCTCTGAATATATTGTTCAGATCGGACCCTATAGCATATAGCTGCCATGCAAACTGAGCAGTCAAAATCAAGTTTAAAAACTCTTTATCAACTTTTATGCTATAAGAAATGGGACTATGAAGTGTAGGTTAGCTGCGCTACGGACGAAGTTAACGTTTTTTTCTAGTTTTAATTAAATTTGACTATATATATTTTTAAACTGAATTTCAACATTCAATTTCATAATTCTCTCTTCAGCTGAAGAATATCCACCGCATATCCGTCACATTCACAGCGACGGCACACTGTGTCTCTCCGTCTCCAAGCTGGCTATCTCCTTCTGCGTGCTGGGACTCATCTTTCTGCTGGCCGTTATTGTGGCAATTTACTCGCTGATACGCGCACGTCGCCGCACCACAGGCAGCACCTGCGCATTAACGCCGCCTAGCAGCGGCACCGGTCATATGCAACGCGCGGAGCTCTGCACGTCCATGTTCTCATCGAGGTGAGTGTTCAGAGTGTATTATTGCCATTTTATTTATTCATTAATTATTTACTTTGCAGCAGCGAATCAGCGCAATCGGCGCGTTTTGGCAGCAAACTACTCATGCCCTACTATCCAAATACATTACCCTATGGTCGCGTCTACTAATCGAGTGCAAAGGTTGGGGTTTTATCTAATATTGCATGCTTTAGTTGTAGTTTTTGAAAATTACTGTATAAGCTTCACATTTCACTCATCATCTTAAGACTGATTTTTGTAGATTTTTCTCAACGAGCGCATTGCAAAAGCAAAAAATAGCAATAATTGTGAAAATTTAATTTTTACACAAAACTAATGCAATAATACTCTAATAGCTACTACTTCACTTATAGATATAAGTTATCTATTGCGAAAGAAATTCGAAAACGTTTTTGAAAAACTTAAGTATTAGTGTATGTAGAAAATGTTTTTTGACTTTTCTTTCTAAATAGTTGTTTAAGTTGTATTAGTTGCTTAGCATCGTAGCGTAGATATTGCTAACATTAAATTTAAATTGTCTTCATTTGAAAAATATAATAACCTAAATTTTTTGCAAATTACGTATCGCGCGAAATTAACCATCACATATGGTTAAATAGTAGTTGTTGTTGCTGTTTTAGCGGCAGAAAACATTGTTGTAGTAATTTCGGGGAATGCTGCCGAGTTGATAATACTTGGCCGGAAAAAAATTCGGGTTCGTTCCGATTACTTAGACTCCACTGTCGTGAGAATGCTTAAAAAGTAGCATAAGTGCTTGCTTAGACAAAAAATTCGGACGGCAGTCGGTTCTCCGTAACAGAAAAGGTCACAGATTTTGATTTGGCCAAAGGCTGTCAACTCGGCAGCATTCTTCCAAACTGCTTGAGGCATGTTTTCTGCCGCAACAACATCATAAGTTATGTGTTTTAGTGTAAAAGTATACACATTAAGCTTAAATTTTAGTACATATTTTGTATTAATAATTAATTAAGAAAAAATATATATAATATATCACTTTTACCATTTTTAAAAACAATTTTTGTAAATCATGCATAAAATATATAACATATGTTATTGTAACGTCAAAATTTATATAAAATATCGGACCTGTCTATTTCAGTGCTGATATACATATAATTACTACATAATATATAATATTACTATATATATGTTTTTTTAAACTTTTTTAATTTATTGAATAGCTTGCGTTAAAACATTTTGTTTAAACATTTAAAATCCTTTCTCAGAAAGTACAATAGTATTGCTGCACTGTCTAATGACGATAAACTTTTAGATTTTTTTTGAATTAAAACCAAAAGGAAACCGTTTACATTTACTGTAATTTTTCGACAAAGCACCCAAAGAACTTGTTTTCTATAAGAAACATCGCTAATTTAATGGTGCGGGGTATTGCTAATAAGTTTTAGATGCCTAGTTTTAAAATAAAAAAATATTTTTAATAAAATGAAATAAAAAATATTTTTAATAAAATGAAATTAATAAATAAAAAATATTCTTAATAAAATAAAATAAAAACTATTTTTAATAAAATAAAATAAAAAATATTTTTATTAGAATAAAATGAATAAAATAAAAAATATTTTTAATAAAATAAAATTAATAATATAAAAAATATTTCTAAAAAAATAAAAAATATTTTTAATAAAACAAAATTAATAATATAAAAAATATTTTAAATAAAATAAAAAATATTCTTAATAAAATAAAATTAATAATAAAAAATTTTTTTTAATAAAATAAAAAAATATTTTAAATAAAATAAAATTAATAATATACAAAATATTTTTAATAAAATAAAATTAATAATATAAAAAATATTTCTAATAAAATATAATCAATAGTATAAAAAATATTTCTAATAAAATAGAATTAATAATATAAAAAATATTTTTAATAAAATAAAATAAAAAATATTTTTTAATAAAATAAAGTTATTAAAACACAAAAATATTTTTGATAAAATAAAATTAATAAAATAAAAGATATTTTTAATAAAATAAAAATATTAAATAAAAAATATTTTTAATCAAATAAATAATAATAAATGAAAAATATTTTTAATAAAATAACAAATATTCTTAATAAAATAAAAAAATATTTTTAATAAAATAAAATTAATAATATAAAAAATATTTTAATAATATATAAAATATTTTTAATAAAATAAAATTAATAATAAAAAAAAATATTTTAAATAAAATAAAAAATATTCTTAATAAAATAAAATTAATAAAATACAAAATATTTTTAATAAAATAAAATTAATAATATAAAAAATATTTCTAATAAAATATAATCAATAGTATAAAAAATATTTCTAATAAAATAGAATTAATAATATAAAAAATATTTTTAATAAAATAAAATAAAAAAATATTTTTAAAGTTACTTTCAATGAAATAATTATAATAAATAGTTTATTACATTTCCAATTGTCATAATTAAAATAAAATCATGTAATCGAATTTGAGTAACACTTTTTATTGCTGTTGTTGTTTTGAATGGTCACTTTTAAACAACACGAAACTTTTTTATTCCAATAATTTATTTTTATAAGCTAACAATTTAGTTTCACATCCCAACCAGCTTGTATATATAAAACAACGTTTCCAATAAATTATAATGCAAGTATTGCGATTTATTTATTACACTGTCTAAATTTTTAGCGCATTTTTTACACGCTTACACCTATTAGCGACATTTTATTGCATTTCAACGTATTAACGCTGTTATTCTTTTATTTTTGTTTAAATTTGTAGAAATTAAAAGAATCACAAATTAATTACATAAAACATTAAATTTGGTACAATAAAATCAATATTAACAGTAGCATAGCTGTTGAATATCTATAAATGGAATAAAGAATTTACATACGCGCCTTTTGTTGTTGTCTTAATAACGCAAACAATTATAAAGCAAACGTTTTCTGTTTTTTTGTTTGTTTCTATGTGTATAACAGTATTGTTTGTGTGGTGGTGAACAACTTGTTTGCCATTCTTTTTTTTTGTTTTTTTAAAGTTGCATGAATACTGTTGAAACTGTAACGTTTAATTTATTTTTGTATACATTTTAGCTAAATAGTTAGTAGTTTTCAAAACAAAAACAAAAAAGCAAATATATACACATTAAATAATGCGTTGCAAACGCTAACATATATATATTTTTTAAGCTTTACGCTTTTGGTTAACTGGCTCTACATGTATGTGTATGGCTTAGAAGAGCACATCATCATCGCCTTCGTCTAAAATATTGGCCTGTTGGCGCACATCGATGCCCTGCTGTAGCAATTCCGCTTTGATTGCCTCGGCCTTCTTACGCGCAATACGTTTCTTGTCTTGAATCTTCTTCAAACGGTAGAATTCCTCACGCTCCAACTCATCCAATTCGGATATGATGTAAGCGAGTGTACGATCGATGCGTGGAATGATGACTAAAATGCAAATTTTGTGTCAGCATACTTTTTCTACATTGCTTATGTTTACTCACCATGCTCAATTGCGTTAACTCTTCTGTTTGTGATCTTAATAACCTCATCCAATGTCACGAACGATGTCTGCAATGAAGCCAATTCGACCAATAGTTTCACTGCGCTCTGATAATTCTTCTTCAATTTGGCTAATTGTTGACCACCACGCGCCAGACCAGCCAATTCGTATGTGTCAGCGCCGTCCTGATAGGATTCGAATACGGGCAACGTTACACCAGCGACGTTGTCTTTCTTTGTACGGATCTTTATTTGTGCCTTGGTCACATTCTGTAAGACCACTTGATTGAAATCGCCAGTGGTGAATTTGGCTTCGGCCAGCGAGAAGGCAGCCTCCTTCATAACTTCACCCATAAGAGTTTTGGTCTGTTGCACGAAAGTTAAATCAAATTTATTAGGAATTTGAGGAAAAATGCTCGAACACATACACACATACACACAGACGTAAACTCGTAAATTTTGTTGAACTTATCATGGTCATGCGTAAAATGGGTGGGGATGGACGATTACGCGAACTTCCCATTATTGCTACTCACCTCAATAATTTTACCCAAGATCATACGGAAACGCATTTGCAGCGCATCAGCCTTTTTCTTGAGCAAACCATGACCCTTTTGTGCGCCAGCCAGACGTGACTTCATCAACATCTGTGCACTGTAATAGTAGAGTTGAAAAAAAACAAGAGTTTATAGCGAAAAGTATGATTTTTTTCATAGGCTTATAAACCAATTTCAGAAGTTTTTTTAGTGTCCAAGCTGTTTTCAGTATGATAAACTGACTTACCCACGAGACGGGAAAATCGGTAGCCTGTCTTTGCCTGACATTTTTTTTTATAGTTTTTCAACTGATTTTTCCCCAATATAATTTCACTGAAAAATTCGCAGCACACACGCAGCACCAAATACAAGACAAATCGTTGGGTCAGCTGACAAACGTCAGCAGAAATGTCATATGACCTATAAGCGTGTGACATCTAACGGCGAACAAGAAAGTTAATGTTGTACAGCGCGCTCTATCGGTCGAATCTGTGTGCGGAGAAGGCAGACGTGAATGTTCATAAATAAAGAAAGCGCAAATGTTAAATCAGAGAATGTTAATACAGAAGGGGCAAATGTTAAGAAAAGTGGCAACGTGGTCTATGCCGATCCACAATATTGTTGTTTTAATTTTTTCATATGTTACACCATATATGGCATTAAATTATAAAATTTTCATAAAAAAAAACATTTTTATGGGCTCTCTTATTGCTTCTATATGTTCTAAGCACTTCCATTTAGTTTATATGTTTACTTAATATACCATATAATTTCATAGATTTTCGACGTAGACCATTTTATATAAATTCAATGGTAAGAAAATGCAGAAAAATCGAAAATCGCAGTACTTCAAAAGAGCATAAGTCACTTTTCAATATTAAAGCACTGCTAAAAAGACAAACGTGACAACATAACCGACATTGTCGATTAAAACAATATTTGTCAACTCCGCGACGATGTGCACAATTCTGTTTTAATACTTATGCGAACTCCTGGGTATGTAGGTATATATATTTTTGTCGAAAAGTTGTCATTTGGTTTTTTAGTCAGAACTCAATGTTTTGCTTCGCTTTGTCTTCACGCGAACTCGCCGTTACTGCCATGGTGCGCCACAATGGACGGAGGCGTTTCAACGAAGGATTTTTATTATATACTGATATCTGAGAGCTTGTTTAGCTAAAAATATAAGTACACATAAATACCTACTTATTTAAATGTTTTAAAAATAATTTCGATTATTAAAAATATAGCTGAAATAATTATGTGGTTGCACCCCCTAACCTCACCTTGCCTGTGATCATTCAACTTAGCTGTTCTCACAAAAAAGCAAAAAGTGAAGACAAAAGTCATTGTTTGTGTGTTGCAAAGAGAAGCAAGCATCAACGTACCTGGTGATGCGAAACAGCTGTTTTGATATGCGTTGCCAACTGTTGGCCGGAAATACTTTTTTAGAACAATTTTGTCAATATTTTCCGGTTCCTCACAAAAGTAGAATTTTGTATGCCTTATTTTCAATACCTAAAATTAATATGTTAATTTTTAAGAAAAAATAATAATGATTTTCTGTAGGTTAAGGTATATTTGCGAACTAAGTTTTTTAAAAGTCTTGCAGTGTTCCCCACTTATAAATCAAAAAGAAGAAAGATAACCCCATATGCAAATTAAAACCGCCATTAGTGATTTTCTATTCGAGTCGCGTTGGTTATAAAAAGTGCTAAGCATTTAATGTACAATTCAAAGTGAAATAAAGTTTTGTAAAAATGTAGTTTCAGTGTATAATTATAATACGAATGCCATTTATGTTATTGAATACTTTTAGACAATGAAAAACAAAGTAATAAAATTCTTAATAGCACGTGCTTTAATCTAACCTAATATTTTTTTGGCGTATTCAGCTATATGTAAGACACCGTAGCGTTCGGAGGCCACATGCAAATTTTCGCCATTCACCATTTTACTGTTTATATGGGGATTATGTAGTTCTGCAATTAGAGTGCTGCAAGCAGCGGCAGGATCACCGGAGCTGGTGAGAGCGCCCTAAAAGTAAAGAAAATTTTGCATAGAATATACGTACATGCATGTGTAACTATTTAAGTATGTATGAGTAGAGTAGCATGCATGTTACACAAGAGCAGCATACTTATTTAAATGCTACACACCTTCCAAAACTCATTTCCTGGCAATGCATTGCCATCCCAGGCGTACGATTCAACTATTAACATTTTTTCATATGCTGGCGGCTAAAAAGTAATCTGCTTAGACATTTTAAATATTATTACTATACTGCTTACTAATTTCTCCGCTGGATAACGATCTTGCACAAATGTTTGTATACCGCCGCTAGGGTGATTTGCCGACACAATCTTATCACCATCCGTTATAAAGTCTTTCGCAGCGGATGGGCGAAAATTCGAAAAGTGTACCACCGATATATGTGTAAGGCATAATAAAAGCGCATGCATGCGCTCTTTAAACGTTTTCAAAAATATTTTATCCTGATGTTGTACGGCACGCCAGGCGCCCAATCCAATACCAACCACATGTAGATACACTTGTTTTTCGATAGCTTTACCACGCGCGTTAGACTCCAACAGTAGTGTATCGAATGTTATAGCATAACGTTTTTTCATCATCAGATTGTCAAAAATATAACGTGTAATTTTATCTTTAAAGAAACGTGGTGAATTTATGTTTTCTACTTTAGCATAAAGCAAATCTTGTTCTTCATAAAAACGTATCCACAATTGTCGGTAGTCAACCTTTGGATTTTTTGTCTTCATTGCTGATTTCGTTTTGTAACCATAACCACGTGCTTTCGTATTTTGCATTGGTGTTATCATAATATCCTGCCACTCCATTACATCTTCTGCCTCGAAACGGCCGCCGATTATACCTATGATAACACCTTCAATTTCTATTTTTGATTTATCCTCTTCAATGATGCCAGCATTAAAACGTCTACCATTGTTTAAAAATTCGGTGTGTGATGATACTGAAAGAAAAGCGGAAAGCTTGCGAAACAGATTGACAAAATTAATAAATGTCCTGTTAAAATTCCAACTGTTTACCTTTATCTCATCATAACTTAAAACGTCTTTTAATAACAATGGCGCTTTCTCATCAACGGTGCCTACATCGAAAAAATTAGCTAAGGTTTTTCTGCCCTTCAAAAGCAGATAGTCGTCGAGTGGCCCTACGAAGGCTACACAACGTTTCTCAAGTAAACGTTGGACTAGATCTGTAAGAGTCATATCTACATAAATTGCGCGTTCCAGCTCATTACCTAAAAATTCGTGATGATAATGCTTCAAAATAAAATATTATTATTTGTTTTTTAATTTAGAAAACTTGTGTGGAAAAAACTTGCATTGGTTATTGTTTGTGCAAAGGTATTGGTTATGTGCTGTAATTTGCACATCTTATATACACAAAATACAAATTTTTGAATTTATATTAATCATACATACATACATATGTATATAATTAAATCTTCTACTTTATATTAAGCCAACCCACCATATTTGCATTTGTGCTCCAAAAATGCCAAATATAAACCAACAACACGTTCATGTATTAACGGATAAGCAGAAGCAATTTGTTTTGTAATTTCATCATAGCGTTCCTTTGGTTGACTCATTACGCGACATGTATCACGACCAAACTGCATACAATTACAACCAAAAACCAACAATTATATTTAACATTAATAACTTCATAATTCTGCTACTTGCCTTGATTGGGAAGCGCAAAGATTGCTCTATGAGACTCTCTACATCAATATCACTGATATCAGGTTTTTGCACATATTGCAATTTATGCAGTAATCTCTTGCCGTGTTCGGTGAGCATAAAATCTGAACCATATGGCGGCCAAATCTGATCAAGTTCTTTATCATCATATTTAGTACGCTTAGATTTAAACCACTTTTTGCCGCCACAAGCGAACATTTTGTACTTTTTTTTATAAATAGCACATAATTCTATTGCATTTCTAAAATAATTGCGTTGTAGCACATTGCACCGAGTGCATACTATGTATATATGTTTTAATAGTGGAAATTTGTTCCTTCTATACCTATTTGTGTATAGTAGGCATCTACATATTATTTATCCGTAGTTATTTTTAGACGGCAACAAACTGATTATATGTATATCGTATGCCCTGTTGAAAAACAATGGCTTTTGCATATTTGGAACAGAGTATACACACAATTTAATGGTGATTCCCGTGTTTACTCATATTTCAAAATAAAAGTAAATTTTATGTGTAAGCGCAAATATAAACAAATAATCAGCTGGAGTAGCCGTCGCGTTGCCAATATATATTAAAATTTTTGTTTTGAATTAACAATTCTATTGATGATAATAAAATAAATTTCTTCTTTAGCACGCTTATTACAAAAATAGGTAAATCTAATAATGATAATTAAAAAAATCTTTAGCATGCTTATAACAAAAATAAGTTTGCAATAATTCTTTGCCTCAACACGACTTCAACCAATCGGTGCTTTATTTCAATGCATGTAATGAGAACAAGTTTTAATTTTTTGCTTTATTAACTACTCAAATTTTTAACAAAATACACATTAATGCATTTAACAGCACATAATTATTAATCAGTATATATTTATATATGTATGAATATGTATATATAAAAAAACATTTTATTTTAATAATACATGTAAAAGCAATATTGAATAAAACAGCAGTTACTACATCAACAACTGTATATTGCCATTAAATATTATATGCACCATATAGTTGATATACTGTATTTAGTAAATGACTTAGTGGAGCACTTTTGTAGCAAAGTCCGAAATATGCAAAACACCGAAACGATCTGATGCCACATGTAAATTTTCACCATTCACCATTTTTGTGTTGATGTGTGGATTGTGTAGTTCTGTGATGAGCGTACTGCATGCGGCCGCAGGGTCGCCGGAAGAGGTGAGAGAACCCTGTATACAAAAAGTTATTATTTCATATATAAAAACACTATTATAGTAACATTATCAACTAATTAAACCTACAAGCCAGAATTCGTTACCAGGCAATGCATTGCCATCCCAAGCATACGATTCCACCACAAGCATATTCTCAAATTCAGATTCCTAAATTTTTTATATATAAAAATTATGTATATATTGGCACAGTACTATTATCTTTAACAATTTACCAATTTCTGCGCTGGGTTCCTATTTCTAAGGAATATTCTAATGCCACCAGCTGGATGCGACTCCGTGGCTAATACACCACCATCTGCAAGATTAGCGCATGCCGTCATGTTAAAATATGAAAAATGTACCACATTAATGTGTATCAAGCACGTTAATAGTTCATGCAAACGTTCACCAAAGGTCTCAAGAAAAATTGTATCTTGATGTTGGAACGCGCGCCAGGCGCCTAATCCAATGCCAACTACATGTAGATATACTTGTTTGCCAGCAGCAGCGCCACGTGCATTAGCCTCCAGCAAGAGTGTATCGAAAGATATAGCGTTGCGTTTCTTCATCATAAGATTATCAAAAAAATATTTAGTGTTTGGTATTTTATAGAAACGTGTTGTATTTCGACCGGTCATATTTTCGTACAGCAAATCTTGTTGTTCATAGAAATTTGTCCACAAATAGCGATAATTAACCGCAGCAATCGTTGCATTTATGGCTTCTTGTGCTGTATAACCGTAACCATGTTTTTTGATATTTTGCTCTTTGCTCACTATTATGTCCTGCCAGTCCATGGCTTCGCGCGCTTGAAAGCGTGCACCAATAATGCCAACTACAACACCAACGCGTTCTATTTTGGATTTATCCACTTCGATTATGCCAGCGTTTCGACGATTGCCGTCGTTTAAGAACTCCGTGTATGAAGAAACTGATAGAAAAGCAGAAAGCTAAAGGCACATGTAAAAAAATTTAAATATGTTTTTTTCTTATTAGATTAAAAATTATTTGTGCTACAATAGTTTGTAAGACAACTTACTTTCATTTCATCATAGCTTAGCACATCTTTCAGCAGAAATGGCGCTTCCTCCTTCTCCGTACCCACGTCATAAAATTTGCCCAAACCTGTTTCACCGCTAAGCAACAAATAATGATCCAGCGGTCCAACAAAGGAGACGCAACGTTTCTCTAGTAAACGCTGCACCAAAGCTGTTAGCGTCATGCCGGTATACAGTTTACGCTCAATATCTGTGCCTATAAACAAATACAATTAACAAGCAAATGCGGTACTAAAACAGTTCATGTATATTCTTTTTGATCACAGACCGTATTTAGTTTTGTACTCCAAAAAAGCCAAATACAAACGCAACACGCGCTCATGTATTACGGGATACGCAGATGCAATTTGCTTAGTGATTTCTGTATAACGTTCCACTGGCTGACTCATTACACGACACGTATCCGTACCGAACTATTCAATAATATAGTATTTGTATAATATCCAAACAAGCTAATGCATGTCTAGCCATTTTAAATTTACCTTTATTGGAAAAACTGACGATGTTTCCATAAAACTTTCGATACTTATTTGTGTTGCATCAGGTTTGGGCACATCAACACATTTCAGCAGTAATTCCTTACCGAAGTTTGTAAATATCAAAACAGCCGCTCGCTTCGGCCATACTTGCTTCAATTCTGCATTTTCATTTACATCAGTTGCACTCGCGCCAGCTGCAAATATGTTTTTAAACGTACGAAGCATTATTTTCTGCTTACCAAACCGAACAAACTAAATTACTACGAAGTATTCTGCAAAGCAGTTGTGCGAACACTAATTCCCTTCATGTTATTTCATCATAATTTACAAAACTTGTAATGTACCCTAACTGTTGAAGTTCCGGGAAACATTTAATTGTTTTGTTTTGCTGTTATTGCCGGCTGTTGCGGAAATCAGCTGTTGTTTGCGAATAAGTTCGCTTGTTTGCTTGCATATTGCAATTGTTTTACAAGTGTAACAAAACATATATTTCATTTATTATTAACTAAAAATTAGCATTAGTGTTATAAAAACTTTCAAGTAAAACTGTCGGCACAAATCCAAGCTGTATCGCAGTTTGTTTGTAATTTCCGTTAGCAAAATGCGTTATAAAGTTAATTTTCAAGCAAAGGAACACAACTTTAATCAGGTTTCCAATTGTAGGTGATGCAGTTGTTGCTCCGCGTTGCCAACCGCACGTGCGTTGTATAGAATGCTTGTATAGAAACTTCTTAAAAATATTTTATAAACGCATAAATTGAAATTTCGGTTGCCTGACAATATTTCTTTAAAGTAACCGTTTAGTTTTATAGAAATAGTAATTTTTTCTATGCTCGTATTGAAATTTAATATCGTTGTTTTTATGCGTTTATTGCACATAAGTGTATGTGTATGGTACCATCCAAAATTTGCATTAACAATATTTTTCGTGTAAACAATTTTTTTTTGGTGCAAAATATTGGGTACATATTTTTTTTATTTCGACTCAATATGAAAAATGTTTGAGCTAAGAATATTAAAAATTTCAATGCGCGAAAAAAGATACCGCACCGAAATTTATAAATTAATAACTAAAAAGCCTAATGTACATTTTTTAATAAACAAAAAGCCGTATAAAAATAATTCCAAATTTAAAAAAAAGATTTGTTTATAAATATATACCTTTTGTTTATAAAAAAAAGTATAAAAAACTTAACGCATATTTCATTGGAAAGCTGAGAAAAAATCCTAAACAATAGCCCGCAATACTTTTCCTCGTATACGTTTTCAAGTCGCAATAAAAAAATACGTGTCCAATATTTTGCCTCAAAGAATGCAAAACAAAAAATAATGTTTTGCACGCGAAAAAATTTTGAATATTAATTTTGGATGGAAGGACCCATAGAAATAAAAATAGGAAGCCGCTACTCTATTAATCAGAATTTGCCTCAGTGTTTAATTTGAATTTCTTGTCTAACTTCGTCTTATAAATACTTGCTTTAAACTTTGTGCCAAATGAGTTCTGCCGATAGCGGATCACTATAGCATATAGCTGTCATACAAACTAATCGATCAAAATCAAGTACTTGTATGGAAAACTTTTGTATTTAACAAGATAGCTTTACGAATTTCGGCATAGCTTAATATCCAAGACAACACTGCAATCTCCCAATAAATATTTAAGATCGCACCACTATAATCGATCAAAATCAAGTCCTTACATGAAAAATTTTTTCATTTGCAATCGTGGTTGACGTATTTTCAAGTTTAATAAGTGATTAGAAAAAATAAAACAACATTTCTTTAAGATAGTAATTATTTTTGCTTTGGTACTCGTATTTTTCAATTTATTTCATAATCATATTATATTAGTTTTAACTTTTTTTCTTAAAGTATTGTATAGTATGCCTTTGCATTGCAATAAAATGTTTTGCCTCATAAATCATAATTAGTTTAAAATATGTATGTATATTTTCTTTAGTTTTTACATAGATAGGGACGTTAATAAATGTTGGCAACGCGAAATCTTTTCAACATTTTCTCAACTTTTCATACACGTTTAGCTTTACTCCTCAAATTCTGTTTCGTTATTTTTTTTTTTAATAATTTTTTATTTTTACAAATAATCGTATATTTAGTGTGTAGTGAGTATAGTTTCTTTTTTGTAATTTTAATCATCAAATTTTTCTACGCAAACAACGGTAGTTTTCAACAAATGCGCACAGAAAAGTAGAAATAAATTTGCTTTCATTTTTAAATAACTAGTTAGTTAATTTTTACACGCTAAAACTTTTCATTAATATGCAGCATATTTTATACTCCTCTCAGATATTTGCTTCGGTTTCAGTTGCTTCGCTACTTAAAAACTAACAGTTTGCGACTTTGGAAATAATTTTTTTTATTTGTATTTTTTTAAAATATTTAATACAAATTTTTAAGTATTTGCTTGTTTTACTTTCTTACTTTCTTACTTCTTACTCCTTTTCTACTGCCTTATTTCTTTTTTCTTCAAACACACAATTTTGCTCATTTCTTTCTATATACGTAAGTCAATGGCATTTCTACGTTCACTCCATACATATAAATGTGTTAACATTAAGAAATAAATCCTTTTCAATTCATAATTGCATTTCGTCAGGGAGCTTTTTTTTTCTTCTCGAAACTAAAACTATTGTTTAACTAAAGTATGTAAGTATGTATGTGTGTAGCTTCTAATGGGCTTCTATTTATTTATTTTTTTAAGCTAACGCATTTACTGTTAGTTTTAGTGTTTTTTGCTATCTTATTATTTCACCTGAAAATCTATAGAATGCATACAGTATATGCTTCCATTTAAGTGAAATTAAATATAATAAAAATTACCATTCATAAGTTCATACGCAGCGCAAGTTTCGAGAGTTTAAAAATACGTAGTACTTAAGTTCACTAAACATTTACTACCATAATATAGTGTCTATATATTTATATAATAAATTCAGCTAGAGTTTTGAAAATTAATGCACATATAATAAACATTTGCAAGCGTAACGGTAAAAGAATGTGGTAACTGTGTTGATGCGCACGCGTTACCAACTACGGCGAAATAGTGTAGTGGTAAAAAAGAAAGTGAGTGCTTGCAGTAAAAGCTGGTATATTGAGAAAAAATTAACAAACTAGCGAAATTACGGTTAGTTTATAATATTTTTGCTGTGGTGAATTTTACGCGAGAGCTTTACTTGCATGTAATTATTGTAAAACAAAACATAAGGTATCGGAAATCATAAAAAGAAAATAATATTGTAACTTTAATAAATTTTAATTTAAGCTTAGTGAAATTATTACTTATTATTATTGATACATTTTTTTTTAAATTTAATTTAAATGTTTTTCAATCAAAAAATTTCAAAAAAAAAAAATTGTTATTACTGTATATTTCAAATATTCGTGTTAATTAAAGTGTGGTGAATTTCTTACGGGGTAATATTCATAATGAATTTCAAAAAATCGATTTTTTTGTTTAAATATGTATATATCGAATTTACATAAATTTGAGAATATTCTACGATAATTGGAAGTTGATCCGTCACGTAGCTTCGGAGATATGAGCGTATTTGGCGACCCGCTCACCGCTTTTTTAAGAATAAAACACCGATAATTAAAGTCCATAAAATTCACTAAATGTACACTTTTTTATTTTTTAATTAAAATGCCTCTTAAAAAACAAAAATATATAAATCTCTAAAAATTGCGTTTTTCCTGACTAGCAAGTGCTTATAACCTCTTAGTCGCACTCAACCAGCCGTTTTTCCAAGTGCAAAGTTTTGCAATTAAAAATTTTGTAATATCGCTTACAGTTTTAATTTTCATTTTGTATATCTTTTTGATCCTGCTTGAAAATTGTTTTGATGCCTCGTGCAATTCACCACAAATTTGTTGTGTTAATATAAAACATTTCTGGAATATAAATTATTCGCTTTCTTTACTTTTTAGCTTTGTTAAATATCAGCTGTTTGAAAATATTTATTCGAGATTTTTGTGTTGAAAAATAGATTTCCGCTAAAAAACCATACTTTTGAGGAACATAAATATATTTTAATGACTTTGTAGTGATATCAGCTGTTTTTTTTGCATTCTCCAATTAAGTCAACAATTTATAATAAAAAAAAAAAGTTTTCAAGTTTCACATAACTTGTTCTTCTGTCATATTTTCACCGCGCTGACAATCAGCTGTTGCAACTTCACCTCAACTCACCACATACCCACTTAAACAATATTTCGAGTTTTCGTTTACAGTTTTGTTGCAAATTTTTCTTTTTTCCGTTTTTTCGCAATTTGGCATACGGTATTTATGTTTTGGTGTTACAGTTATATTTTTTTATATACTAAAATCTCAAAATGTCTATATGTAGGTTATGTATGTACTAACGGTATACTAAGTAAATAGGTGGAGAGGCGGAAACTCAAGTTACTGGGTATAGTTTGTATGTAACTAGTACACTTTACGGTTATATTAACTCGGTAATAATTGAGTACTGTCTATATTTTGGTATTTTATTTATATTTTTTTTTGTTTTTTGGTATTTTTTTGATACTTACAATATAAATGTGTGTTCTTTTTATTGGTAAAGTTATTAATGTCTTTACAACTTGCTATTTCTTTACGGTTTTGCTATTGTTCAATATGTTTTTTAGAATTAAATTTTATTTTATTTTAGAAATTTGCTGTTTTCAGCCTGCAACAAGTGTTGTAAACTGATTTTTGTATTGATTTTAATTTTTATTTTTTTTAATGAACTATTGAAGTGTATGTTGTCTCTTAATTTTTTTTCATTAATGTTTTCACATTATTTTTTTTTTAAATTATAATTTTATTTTTATAATTTTATTGTTTTTTTCTTATTTTAATACATTTTTTAAATTTGTTTTTATTAATATTTTTTGTTTTAATTTTTATATATATTTTTTTTAATTCTATTTTTTAATATTTGCATTTCCATTTTCAATTTTTAATTTTTTCATTTGTATTTTTATTATTTTTTAATTTTTTTTTATTGTTACTTTTAATTTTAGTTTTTTTATGTACATTTTTTATTTTTGTTTTGTTCTATAACTTCACTAGCAAATACTACGTAAAGGGGAAACATTAAGTGTTACGTAATTAGCTGTTGTTTACGCATTTTCTTTGTTTTTTAAGGTTATGTTGCTTCGTTTAAGATTATTTTGACTTTTTAAGGATACGTTGCTTTTTTAAGGTTATGTTGCCTTTTTCAAGCCTATTTTCATTTTTCACTAGTTCACTAATAATTCTTATTTTTCTTTCAGTTAACGCTAAAGTTAGTTTATATATTTTTTATATATTTATATATAATATATATCTTCATTTTTTGCATAAATATATGTATAGAAATTTCACGTTATCTTATTATAAATAATTTTGCTTCAATATTCGCTTTGAAAGGTTTTACATAGAATTACGTTCTAATCTGTAGTTTTCTGTTTTTTGGTTTGATTTTTAATTTATACTTTTTACTTGCTATAAATAATTAAATAAATATTAAATACTTATTATTTCGATTGTATTTAAAACTTTCGCATAAGTGCTGCCAACAGCCGTTTCATTTCCATGACAGGCTTACACTGTAAGCGTTTAATTTTTGCCACCACATCTTCATGTCACGTTCACACCAATATTATAAAAGCGACTGCTCTGCTGTTATAGTTGCATTCTAGGCATAGAATTCAGACTTGCCTTGTATTTTGTAGGCCTCCTCCTCCATTTTGTACATATCGAGTAACTGTTATTTGAGGGAAATGCAGAAAGCATAAGGCGTGTTAGTTAGTTTTTGACAGTTATGTGACAGTAAACAGTTGACAGACAGTAAAATACAAAAGTGACGTTCACTTTACTGCAATCACTTTATTCATAATTCTACAGCAGCTCTTTTACAAAAGTAGGTATACCATACAGTTAAACAACTAAATAAATTAATTTGCTAATTACAAATAAGAAACGCGCAATTATATGTAACGCTAACTCGATAAATACAAATATTTTTTGCAATTTGGCTAATGAACACAAGACTTACAAAACTAAAAATTGAGTTTAACAACATTTAGGCAAATAAATAATTTACAGTGTAATAGTAGAATTTTTTGGGGAAGGAGAAGTGTGAAACATATACACATGCGCGTGTGTAACCGTTAAATCGCAGTACGGTTACTCATTTGAAAATGAAAACACTACCTATTTGAGCTACATAAACATACATACAAATAACAACAAAAATAATTGTTTTAATTAATTATTAAAACTTAAACTTTTACTTATTTATTACAAACTAAATGTTTAATTAAATGAATTTAAGCAATAGATTAAAAATAATGACGCTTTTTTAATATTTAATGAATGATACTTTGAAATTTTTAACAAATATAACACTTTTTCTTATAAATTCTTAAAAAAAAATACTAAAGTTTAAAATTGTATATAATATATTAAAAGCAGTATATGTTTTAGTGTTGTGCTTTAACTGAATAAAATTTTAAGAGCAGATATCTGGAAAAAAATCAACAGATAAACTAAAATTTTGCTGTGTGTTGTTTTTAACTTAATTGATAGAAAAATTTTTATAAAAAATTACTTAGCAAAATTTGAAAATTTTTTTAAAATAAAAAAAGGATATAATTAAAAATTTTCAAAAATTATAAAACAAAAAAAAAGTTATATATAATTATAATTAAAAAAAAAAATCATATAATAGTTTGCAAGTTTTTAAATAAATAAAAAGGAAATCATTAATTAAATTAATTAATATTTTTCAAAAACAAAAAAAATATATTTTTTTATTATAGTTAGTAAATTATTAGAAGAAAAGAATATAACTAATATTTTGCCAAAATTAAAAAAAAATATTTCTTACTATAGTTACATATAAAAAGAAAATAATCTATTTAATATTTTTCAAAAATTAAAAACTAAAAATCATATTTTAATAGGCAAAAGTTAAAATTTTTTGTTAACAAAAATTTAACCTAGAAATTTAATTAAAAACATTTATTAAAAATATTTTTTTCTTTTAGCTAGCAATCGTATTAAAAAAAAAATACCAAAAAAACTTAATTTGTTTTTTGATTTTGTAAATTTATTTTTAGTATTGTTTTTTAACTCAATAAAAATTTTTGTAACAAAATGCTATAAAAAATGTGTTTGTGAAATTAAAAAATTAAAATAATTAAAGTTTTGACAAAAATTTTTAGTGTCGTTTTTTATATCAATAAAAGCTTATGCAATAAAATTTTTATAAAAAATTTCTTAGCAAAATTTTTAATAAAATTAAAAAATATGTGTAATAAATCTTTTCACATAAATTAAAGAAAACCAAAAAGAAATAATTTTTATTTAGAAAATTTTAAATTTTTTTTTAAACAGAAACGTCAATTCTAATTAAAATAATATATTAAACATATTTGTACTACGCAAAATGCAAAATATTTTAGTTTCTATCTATATCCTTCCAATTTTAGTAAACCGGATTAATTATTTTATGAAATGAAATAAATGAAGAAGTAAAAAATAAAATTACAATTTCTCAAAATAATTAAAAAAATTTTTTGCTGGCGAATTTCAAAAACTATTCTTAAAAATTTAATTGAAATATTAATGAAAACGTAGTTTAAACATTTTTTTACTACATATTTTAGCTAGCAGTTTAGAAAATTTTGAATTTTTAGTAAAACAAAAAATAATTTCAATTAATATGAAACATTTCTAAGAAAAAAATCAATTTGTTTTGTAAGTAAAATTTTTAGTATAAAGAAATCTAAATTCGAATTAAATTTTTTTTTGAAAAAATACGTTAACACTCTTTTATAAAATATCTATCATTTCATTGACATATTTCATCATCATACAAGAAATTATTTTTTAATTACTTCATCAAAATTGAATTAAAAAGTATTTTACTTTTTTTTTCAATAAAATTCTAAAATTTTTAATTAGAAGAAACAGTAACACTGAATAAAATTTATAAAATATATTAATTTTTAATTTTAAAACAAATTTAAAATTTTATAAAATCAGGGGTTAAAAAATAAAATATTTAAATTTTGTTTTCTGTTAAATTCGTAAAAATATTTTTCAGAAATACAAATTGTGAGTGAAAAGAAACATAAATTTTAATTAAAATTTTTTAGAAAAAATACTTTAACATTTCTTCATAAAATTTTTAGCCTGGCAAAAAATAGTTTGAACAATTATTTCATGAAAATTGAATTCAAAAGTATTCCTTTTTTTGCCAACAAAACTCTAAAATTTTGAGCTAGAAGACACAGTATTACCAAACAAATTTTGCAAAATGCATTAATTTTTATTTTTAAATTTAAAACATATTTAGTTTTTAATTTTATTAATTCAAAGACTAAAACAATTCCAAATTTTTTTCTAAAAAAAATTAACTCAGGGTACGATTTCCAAGTTGGACCTATTGTAGGTCAGTTTATTTTCTCCCTGTCCCAGGCAAACCTATGGCTTTGTGGCCAGCATCAAGCTATTTTGCTCACCTCATTTTTTACTCAGTGGAAATATCTTATTTTAAATAACTAAATAACCTTTTAAATAAAAATTTGATTTTTTAGTTAAGTTCTAATTAGAATTTCAACTAAAAAATGTTAAAAATTATTTGAATAACAAATTATACTAAAAAAAATAGTAACATTTACATAAAAAATAAAATATTTTTTGCTAAGTAATTTTTTTTTGAAAAGTTTTAGTACTAAAAGATGAAATGTAGTCACACAATATTTGTTGTTACATTAATTAAAAATATATATATAATATATGTATTCTAAAATTTTGTACTCCACCAATCTTTTAATTTTTGATGTCGGCAAAAATTAATACAAAACTTTTTATTTTTAAATTGTTTTTAAGAAGCAGAACTTCACGATAATAATAATTTTGGTGCTATAAACAGCTGTATATAGCTACATATGTATGTACTTATGTATGGGTAAGAGTTTATTTTTGAGCACTAGTGGCTTGTTAGATTTTAAATTAAAATACAAGCTAAAAATACCATTCAATAAAAAAATGATATTATTTAATTGTTTATTAAGTACTATTTTGTATCATCAGATTTTCTGCATAGCCCAAAGAATCTTATTTTTTAGTTAAAAATTTAGTACAAATTCTTAAAATTTAGTACAAATTATTAACATTTAGTACAAATTATTAAAATTTAGTACAAATTAATAAAAATTAGTACTAATTATGCATCTATGCCAGTATTAGATTATTGTAGTAAAGGTCCGATTTTTCGTAAACTTAAATGAAGCACCACTTTCGTTGAAAATTTAGTACTAAAATGTTTAATAAAAATTTGATTGCTAAGTTTGTTCTAAAATTGGTAGTATGAACGAAATACTTTAAATCTTTAGCCACCCTAAAACTTATTTAAAAATATTTGGTATAAAATTTTTAGCACAACATGTTTTAGTACTAAATTTAAAATCAAAATAAAAACAACTATGAGCAAACATTCTATAAAATAATTATTATGAAATAACAAGCTCTTTCAGGCTACCATCTATGGTATAATAGCTTCAGGACCCTGCCGAAAGAGCTCATTTACATATTTGTTTACTACTTTTATTTTTAGCACCAAAATTAGTTATTAAAAGTTTTTAGGCTGTAGTTTTCGTACACCTATTGTACATATATTTAGCCTTTTGTGACCATTACATTCGTACTAAAAATTTCGACTACTATTTTCTAAAAATCAAAGCAGAAAACACAAAAATGTTGTTGTAAAGTATATAATGTGTGAGTGTATGTACTTAAAGACAGGTTAATATGCAAAATATAATTTTACTTTTTTTTTTTAATAACTACTACTACATTACTACAACTGCTACTATAATTACTTTGTTATGTAATTTAGCACACTCTTTTGAGACTGCTTCATTCAACAAGCACAACTATTTGGTCGCTAAGATTTCAATACTACATATTTTTTGTTATTTGTTTCTAACTGCATTAAAGTACAGTCTCAATACTGGTTATAGTGTCGGTTTGCTGGAGTGTTTCGTTTAGTACCTTTTGCACATCAGTACTAAATTCCTCGACTTGTTTGCCGTGTGCAATTTTGAGTTTTTCCATAGCACGTCCCTGTTTAACACCGATTTGCTGGCGGAAAAGAATAAGTGAAAGTAATATTTAAAGACTTTCAGAATTTTTTTTTAAACTAAAATATTTAAATAGATCTCTGTGTTTCGAAAACTTTAATGGTGGAATATTTTTTTAATATAAAAAATTTGATTGCGAAATTGTTTTGCCTGGAAAGTTGTAAAAATTAGACTTCTTATAGGAGAACCAAATATAAAAATAACGGATAAAGGGCTAGTACTTCCAAACATTTAATTTTGTTAGTCTAAAATACAATACACTTTAAGGTTCTAAAAAAACCATAAGATGACTTAATGGGTAAGGCCAGTCTAGGATTAAAAAAAAAAATCGAATTTTTTGGCTTAAAATGCACATCAGCGTTCTAAAAACTTTTTTCAATGAGTGGAATTGCCAGTAGAAGCCTACTTGATAATCGTTTAAAAGTCTAAATAGTTTTTTTTTATATGCTAAAATTTAGTCTAGCCTAAAAGAGAGAAATTCGATTCCATTTTCTACATTGTAAGAATAAATTGTCAAAGTTAGACCACTTTTTAAGGGCTCTGGACTAGTCTCATTCCTCAAGCTTTAAACTTCACTAATTCGAAACTCGAAGAACTTCTCACATACAGATTTTAACAACATCTATAGTTTAGCATAATAATACAAATATCATGCCTCACCTTTTTCTCTTCCATAAAGCGTTTGATATTATTTTGTCGTTTCTCACGCAATCGTCGATCTTTCTCATTCTTTGTCTTCAATGTTTTGTCATTTTGCACCTCTTTGGCGGTATCAGCCGACATTTTGGCTTGCTTGGTATTCAAATCCTTAATATCACTGCAGAAAATTAGACACAGAAAAGGGTATTTATTGAACTCAAACACAATTTTCTTTCGTCCTTACCGCGCGTGCCGCTCCTCCAGCTGCTTCACCTGTTGCGCCTGCACGGTCAGCATTAAAGCCTTCATTGCTTCTTGCGAGTCCTGTACATGCTGCCGCAACATGTCCCATTCCTCTTTCTTATGTTTGGCAATCATTTCGGTCCACTGTTGCGTCTGTTCGGTGATTGCATTCTTGATCGTGGTGTCGTTGCGTATTTCATCTTTGCTGTAGAAAGAAATTAGCAAATTATTTTCATACAAGTTATCATTACAACCATTTCAAATTGATTTCCAACCTCTTGCCCTTGATTAGGCGATCGATAGCCGCATTCTGATTCTTCTGCATGGTCATGCGCTCCTTGGTGTGTTTCTTTTTAAGCGTATCTAGCTCTTTGTTTTGCTTTTTGGCCACCTTTTGGAAGCCCTTCTCACCACGCAGTGATTCTAACGTGACTGGCTCGAATACCAGTGGTGGTTCTTTCTTCTCCTCCTCCTTGGCTTTGCCCGCATCACGTGCCGCACCGCCGCTCTGTTCTTCAATGCCCAGCGCTTTCATTTGTTCATTTTGTTTTGCTGCAGCGCCCGCAAATCCTCTCGGATCCGACAGCATGGCCATGAAATCTTCAAAGCCATCAGGTACATAAATCTTTAATTCGATGTTGACGAAAAGCATAGGCAACGACATTGGGAAGTTCGCTTCGGTACGTAGTGATACGTGACGATAACCGGCCTGTAGACCGTCTAACGGTAATATACGCTGTCCGATCATTTTACCGCTCTCCTCATAGACGCCGAAACGTAACACAGCCAAATCGGGCAACACCACTTTACGAAAGACAAACGGATCCTCATTGTATACGGGATTCAAACCGTTGTTAGGCACCAAACGTGTACGAAACTCTTTCTTTACTGTGTCCGAGGGCAGACCGAACATGTCGACTTCGACGTAGGTGCCGACTTTTTTATCGGACAAGAATTGACCGGCTATAATTTTCACGGAGCACTGCGCGGCGATGACACCGTCCACGGGCGCATCGGCAAACGGATCGAAATCCTTGTCTGAGCGGCGCATAAAATCCGGCTTGAGCAAGTAGCCACAGCCACCATTATATTCGAATTTACCCTGATTCAATTGCATAGGCAGATCGGAGGTTTGGAAATTGAGCGAGACCATCTGACAGCCAGCGTTCCAGAACACTTGTGGCATATAGTTGGAAGAGTCGGCGCGTGTGCCTTTTGGGTAAATACGCGACATTTGACGTTTGTTATAATTGACAAAGTCGATGGAGCTCTGTTTAAGATAGTTCATGCCAGCCGCTTCGGCGAACGACGACATGTTGTGAGCGATATTCTTCTCTGTAAAACAAATAACAGCAGAGAAGAGTCAAATGATGTTTTTCTCAACAAAACAAAAAAAAATAAGAAAGCTTGCACACTTACCGATAGCCTTATCGAAGCCCTGGAATTTAATGGGCTGCGCATAATTAACCATCGATGACAGCCAGGGGTGTACATTCGTCGTGGAGCCGCTGTAATTGACCGCTGCTGCTTCCGCCTCAGGCGCGGCACCATCCGCGCCAGGCTCGCCTGCTGGTGGTGCCGCGGCAGCCTCTGGTGGTGGCGCCGTTTCAGGTGGTTTGGCGCTCGCATCTTCCTCCGGATCGTCATCGGTCTTCAGTTCACCCTTTAACCAAAGCTCCAATTCGACCTTTTCGACTTCCGGTTTCATTCGTTTATTCTTTATTAGTATTTTCCGTTTCAATTTATTAGGCGGTGGGAGTGGCAAACCAGGATCGAGCTATATCGATGTAACAATTAGCGTAATGTATGCGAAGCACTTGATTAATAACTCACCGGATGTTCGGGCAACGGTTCTTTTAGTAATAATTCACCAAAGAAGTCATCACAGTATTTAGCTAATTTATATTGCTGCGCACGATTGCAGTGATTCTCAAAGGATAATATAACAGGATAGTCGGAGGAGACAAATGCACAATCGGCGATGGCTTGAATGCAATCCTAAAAGATAAACATATAGTGATGACTTAGAAAAGAGTTCCTAAAAGTCGTATTACTTACTTTGAATAGAATTTCAGTACAGTAGGCGTGGCCGTGAGTAACGATGGGCTCCTCGTCTTCACCCTTGCCATTCCAACAGTCCAACTCGACGCATCTGTATGTGAGAAATTAGTAAAAGGATAGTGTAGAGTCCGCAATCTAACTAAACTTTTGTGCTAAGTCATCCTAGTCTCTTGAACTCACCTACAACCCGCCAGTAGCGTCTGTCGATACATTTCAACTGAACTCTTACCACCGATTTGGCGACCCGACAGATAGGTATTATGCGAGCTATTGATATAGTAATGAGCCAACGGATGATCCATTTCCATATACATTTCCAAGCGATCCAAGAACACGGGCGCATTCTCATCGGACATGAGATAACGCTTAAAACCATCCATCGACAATTGTCCTGTATGTATAGATATATTACCATAACTGTTAAATTATTAAAGTCTGTGTAATAGTTTAGTACGCACCCGCCTTCTTATTTTCCTCATTCAATTCATAATCGTTGATAATCTCCGTGCAACGCTTCTCATCATAGAGCGGATATAAAATTTCATTCATACGTGGGTCACGTTGCTTTTCATTCATGAACTGTACGAACTGTGCCATCGAAATGACTTCCGATTTACCCTTAGTGCTGTTCGGAGTGAGGGTGGAAAGGTAAAGACGAATAAAATGTTGAAAAGTAAATATAAATATTATTTGTACTTGTATATGGTATATAAAACGTAAAGAGTAAATAAATAAACACTAGGCGATGGTCAGAAGTCATGTGCTTAGCTGTCATATACTTCAGCTAAGTTAGAGCTCTACCGGTTACGTAGACCCCGACTGTCATGGCAACGGTCAGTCAAGTTAGTCGTATAAGAGGGTGGTGTATTGTATTCAAAACTGTCAAAAAATGTAATAAAATACTTTCAAAATCTTTGATTTTTCAAAATAGATGTGTTGCCTGGTTTGGAATACGGAAAAATCAGCGGGGTTCATTTGACACGTTACCTCTCTTTGCGGTAGGAACCTGAGGGTGTTCTTAGTACTCTACCCAAAACTTTCAAATAATTTCGAAAATTATATTTATCTATATAAATACTCTTCTTGTACGAAATACCGAAGACTTGCAGAACTCTTTTTATGGTAAGAGCTCTCTGAGAGTGACCTGAAAGTGGTACCAGTATCAAAAACGACAAATAACTTACAAAAGTGTTTCCGAATTTTTCAATACAAGTACTTCGGCACTCCTTTGTTTATGGTAGGAATAATTCAAATTAACCGTTAACCACCAACGCCCTTATTTGATTTCAAATCTCTTACTACCAATCTGTACAATATAGGTCTCACTAATGTGTAGTATAAGAAAGCAATTTTAAAACCAACTCGCCGTTTTGAAAACACTCGATAGACTCGCGTAAATACATTCTTCGTTAAAAGTTTAAATTTTTCAACTTTGGGATCACCCCATCATCAAATACATATACCTATAACCACATAATTACATACATATATATCTACTCACTCATGACCCCATTCACAACTTACATGGAAGTGAAAAGCTCTTCGATGTCATTGCGTGGGCACACCTTGTGGTACAGCGCATAAAACTTATCGAATGTGAACTCTTCCTTCGTCATGGTGGCACTCTTATCGTCCGGTAGTCCGACATCCTTAAAGCATTGATACACCAGCTTTTCCGTTTTGCCGGACGCAAAAGTTTTCGCTACCACTTTAATGGGTATTTTGCCACCTTTTTCCACCGAAAAACATAAACGCATCCAACTGTGTGGGGTAAAAAAGTTGTAAAATTAAAGAGTGAATCGAAATATTTTTAAATAAATATAAAATTTGTTGGGTAAGACGACTATAAGTGTGCGTATGTATAATATTTGACATGCAAGGCTTTGACATTTCTGAGTTTACTGAAGCTAAATTTATGAAAGCAGTACTTACCTCAAGCTCCGTTTAAACTACTTACCATTAGGTAACGAGAAAGGTGTGAATGCTATTAGCCGATAATTGAGTTAACGATATCAAAAAGAGAACAGTTACTGACATAATAAATTAATATAGAAAGAGAGCTCTACAGAATTCGATACGAGATACTTGTATAACCACAGTTTAAAGGAAGATAGCTATGCTATTTTTTTCTCCAGCAGTTTGACTTTTACCAGCAATGTCGTCGAAAGAAAACTTTCTTCGTAATCAATTTTTCTTGCTGAAAGTTTATCTGGGTCAAGGTGTCAAATATCTTTCAAATGGTGGTCAATTGTCTATGATGACTGTTAAATCTTATAGTGGTCTAAATATTTACATTCAACAACCGGGACGGCCTTTAAGCTTTCCCCTACCTTGTCTTCATTATCAGTGCGGCCCGAGATTTAACAGCTCTAGCACTGTTTCCAGCACAGATAAAGGCTTTGTTAATCAATTTATAGTTAAGTTCACTTATTGTGTTACCAATAAGGGTTTTCAGCTCTAAACAGGGAATATAAGTATGTACACCAAAGCTCTGTTGGTTTCTGTTGTGATTTCCGTTCGCGTTAGTAAAAGATCATAGATACCTCTTCGTCATTGAAAAGGATTAGTGGTGAATTTTAGCTGATACGCAAAGTTTTCGATCGGGTCACGTATTTGTCGCGCTGCCTACATGATCTTGGCAATTTTTTGGATCTATTGAACCTAGTTAAGACATTTTTGAAAATATATTCTTGGTCAGTGTCAAAGATTATCTGTTAATTTCGTGCCTTCCGTATAATTGTATTAGAACTTGAGTTCGTTTCCTTACAACTTAGCCCGGTTTATTGTTACCTACTTGACAATTCTTCATATAATTTTTTGCTCGAATGACGTTCAGAAATCGGAAAAAGGCGATTCAAAATAATAGCCGAATATCATAGTAGAATCAGCAATTCGCTTCGAGGAAGTATTATCTTATGAACTCACTTTCATTCTGAGGACTTAATTTAAGACATGTTTCTTTTTTATTTTACCATAGCAGATTTTATAAATGATGCTTTGAAATTATTACTACTTCAAAGAAAGTTACTGATTCTGCTTCGATGTTGAGCTAAGCTTTTGAAGTTATTTTACACATGATTTTTTAAGACGATATCAGAGATTAGTTAGAGCAATTTTCGATGCCTTACAGTTCATGGATTGATAACGGTATGGCTTCATTAAGTCGCTATGTGTTTTGAACTATTAATTTATAGCCTCTTCGTTGTCTTTCAGTTAATGAATTGATTACGGTATGGTTCCAGTTAACTTCGTAAAGTCGATATGTGTTTTGAACTGTTAATTATTGAGGCCTTATATGAGGCTTTATAAACAAGTTACCTTTCAAATCTCGGACTATTTTTACTCATTAGCAAAGCATTTTCTATGTTTCCAATTCTACACTGAACTAAATTTTCAACCCAGCCACTCAAGCTCCTCATCGCAAACGTTTCCTCTAGTAATTGCAAATAATTAGTTTATAATTTATTAACTGCTCACACAAATTGCGGCCAACACACACGAACAAGTACGAGCAGTGATGGCTATGGTTGGGTTGTATTGGTCAATTTCCTGTGGCAAAACAAAAAGTGACTGCAAAGGATGGCAAAGGCCAATGGACAGTGTAGGTGTTCAACGCCATACGAGCATATTAAAGCTCTCTATATTAGTTTTGCTGTTTTTGTTTTGCTATATATTTATGTGCATGTCCTTCATTTCCTGTTACATAGTTAACATTTTTCCAAATGAATAAGCAAACATAGACACATATATCGCTTGGCCACAGTAGCAGCATTTATTTACTTATAGTGGCTAAAGTGGTCGGACAAATAGCAAACGGAAATTAGGTTAAATGAGTGCAATTTGAATTAGTCAATGTAACGGTGCATAGCAAATGGCGGGAGTAGAAAATTTTCAAAACGAATACAACTCTGAAAATAATTTTTGCACTGTTTATTACTGCGCTTGGTGCTTTTGTTGTTTTGAGGGCGAGTGCTCTCTGTTTTTACTGCAGGAAAGTGAATTATGAAATTCACTAAATTATTAAGAGTGCGGCAAATAGTTTCGGTACTACAATATTTTGAAGAGAGAATTATGGAAAATTGGTCTTATAAAACCAGCCACTCTCATAGCTTGGACTTCTAATGCTCTAATACTTTAAAAACTACTTCTGCTCTTATTGTTACTGAGTAGGCTCTCAATAAAAAACTTAAAACTCCATCTAAAGTATGCCTTCGACTTAGCTGAACCTTTCATTTACTCATCACTGGTACAGTTTTGTCGGACACTTAATGAATTTATTAAGCTAGAGTGTGGGTCATATATATTTTTGCAAGTAACTCTGAATGCGTTTCCCCCTGCAACTGTTTATGTTCCGTCGCTGATCATCTGTTAAGTAAAGAATATAATAGTAGTGAAACCCTGATGCCAATTAGCAAACACTGGAACAGTCGTTTCTCTTAGGGCGAATTTTTTGCCAGCAAATCACTTGGTGCCATATCGGGATTATAAGGCGGATGCATAAGCAGTTCCAAACCAAGCTCCGGGACCTTCTGGTGAGTCACTATTGATGTGCGTGGTGTGGCGTTGTCGTGTTCGTACACTATTCCTCTCCAATTGACCAAAGCTGGCCGTTTCTGAACAATTGTCTTCTTCAGACAGTTCAATTGTTGACAGTACAGGCCCTGATCAAGAACTTGGTCGTAGGAGAGTAGCTTATCGTAGATGATTCCTTGCCAATCCCACTATATAGATAGCAAAGCCTTCCATCCTGACTTGGTCATCGTTTGCGCCGTTTGTGTAGTATACAGCATAAAGCAAAACAAAAAGCTCGAAGAAGCCTAAAACTAAGATATACATACTTAAAACTTACCGAAAAATAGTCAGTTTCGTACCACTAATATGCTACATAGACCCATATTTCGCAAGACGATATACATAGCTTTTAATATTCTAAAGCAAGTTTAGAAGGTACAAGCAGCCATAATCAAGTCTATAGGTTCCCCAAAGGCTATGATAATGACCCTAGCCCGTACTGAACTAAATTGAAACTAATACCCTACTGCTGCAGGACTAATTTATTTCTCTCACTCCTTTTACAATCAATTTAGCACATAACCGCTAACTTTTGACAGCTGCGCCACATAAACAGCTGATAAACAGATTCAAAATAACTCAACATATGTTTTTCCCCCACACTATTCACTCGCGAGTTATTCCCTCCAGCGCTCACACCCACTGTCCAATTTCACGCCTACTCAACACGCTCATTATGTGCGCATTACCCGCAGTCCAGAGTCCACAGTCCGCAGTTTTTATGTATTCTACTGCAATCATAAATTTTCACCGAAATCCGGCATTGCCACTAAAAGACATTTATTTGTTGTATGCGTAACTCTTTCACAGACAGCGAGCAAGCACTCGAAGCTTGCTTTCTGCCAGCGTGTACAATATGGCCTGAAGGACAATAATGCCACTCAGCGTATCATAAGGCAACAAAATGCCAATAACAAGGAACTACTCAAGGGCTCAAGCGTACAAGCGCTGATGCTGTTGGTAATGCGGTGTGCGGGTAGTTGCTATCTATATCTTTAAGTAGCAAACGCGGACGTGTGCGAAGCGGGAAAAATAAAATGTGCATTGCGAAAGCAAAGCAAAGCAAAGTGAGAAGATAAATAAAATGAATCTAATACATAAAGAAATGAAACGAATAAGGAGAGGCTAAGTTCGGTTGTAACCGAACATTTTATACTCTTGCAACATGCAAGGATCAAAGCCGGGGAAAATGCTTTTCGAATTTCAATAAGATATCTGACAAGTTGACCGATATTTTCGATAAAAGGTTCGTAATAATGAGGTGCACATATTCGATATATGGGGGCTTGAGTAGCTTGGTTCAACTTGAGCAATTTTTGGTCATAAGGTAGCACCCCTTGCCTTGTCTACTGGTAAGTGAAAGCATCAGATGTAATTTAAAATTGTGCTATATGGAAAGTAGGCGTGGTTTTTGTCTAATTTCGCACCTTGATGAAGGAATGTTAGAATATTATTAAGTGCCGAATTTGTTTGAAAGCGGTCGAGTAAGCGCCGAGATATAGGTTTTCATCTAAATGTAGGCGGTGTCACGCCTATCGTGCAAAATTGACACTAACAAACTATTATACTCAGTAGCAACATGTTGCAAGAGTATAAAAATGAAATCTGCACCGCTCAGCAGCATCGCGGCCGTGGCAGCGCCGCCTCATTTGCGTGGCTGCGGCAATATATTTATTTATGCAAAAATATCGTTTTGTTTGCTTAGTCACGGACATTGTTTGCTCTTCCACGTTTTCAGGTTGTTTGCATGTTGTTTTTCCAGCATTTCCAATAAACAATTATGCTGCATAAATTTACGTGGGACGTCTGGTGATGCAAGCGCCCAGGCAGCTGCTACACGCAAGGTTATAAATGTATATTTGCTGAGGCTTTTTTCGCTGTAGTTCACCTGCCACCGGCTTTTTGCACAACTATCGTGTAAGCGCATTTTTGTCAGAGTGTTTTGTTGTTGTCGCTTTCATCTACAGCCTCTAAAACCTGTTGACATTAGCTGCGTAGAAACTAAAGTAGATCTAGCGACTTTCTGTTATCTTCCCACTCCCGCTCGGCAATGTGTGTCAGTGGTCCTTGTTGCTGGCTTTACTTTAGGGATTTGCGAAACAGCAAAAATGTTCGCTTCTATTGCTGCCTATTTAACGTTAAAGTGTTTGACGTTCTTTGTCGTCTTCAATTGTTTATTGTTATTGATATTTTAAGTGTCGCATGAAGCATGGCAATGGATTTTAATACTGGATTAAGACTATGTAAATTTCTACACAGATATTATTAGGTGGATAGGCGTAGCTGGATTTCATAAGGTGTTTGTAGAATGTGCTTAGAGAGAGAGAGCTGTGTTTATATATACTTTAGAGTCAATGATTTTTTTCGTAACCTTTTGCATACTACCTGCTAATTGCCGAATGCCATTTATAATCCTGCTGTTAACTAATTTCCGTCTCTCTTTGACATGTTTTCGAGCATATTTATATGAAAAATTAATACTACTAGATCTCAGCTTAATTATTATGGATTTATGCTTGCGTACGATTATGCAAACCAACTAAATTTTCTTCCTAAAATAATTTGCTACAAAAGTAGTCTCCAACATTGCCGACATCTCTCTTTCTCACACTTTAAAGCATCTGTTTCTGCAAATTCAGTGAATATGTTTTATTTAAAACAGAGTGATAGAAAGAGAGATTGAGAGAGAAAGAGGGAAGACAAAACATTACGGTAACTTATAATAATGAGTTTGTACTCAAATTAAATTTTATCAATTTAAATTTTTGAGTGTTTTTTTGGTACAGAAATTAACCAGTTGGAAGTGCTCACATATTTCAAATTTCTTTTTACCGCTTTACTTAAATACTTATAATATTTACTTACCTTATTTAAAATTTCTTTTAACAAAAATTTCCCCTTTTTCTAAAATTTTTTATTTCAAAGTTTTGTACTTACTGCTTCATTAAATTAGTTCTCGGGCACACATTGGTTGCCTTATTATTATGTGTTATATAACGTAAGCCCTCTTGCCAGCGCTGTTAATTTACATTCATATTTATTTTTCATATATTTTTAAACGTGTATTATTTATATTGTGCAAATAAAATGTGCAGACATGCAAAGTAAAGAAAGTTTTTTGAAATAAATAAATTAATTTAAATGAAATAAAGAGTTTAATATAAACAGATAGAAATCGAAAAACGAGTAGAGATATATTTTTCAAATTTAAACACAAAAACATTGTAGAAGAAAGACGTAACTAAGAATCCTAATTAATAATCAATTAAAGGTGACCGAAAAAAATTATATTCATAACGCAATAACCTTGTAGAAAGATATTTTTAAGAAGTTTTTATTAAAGGTGACCAGAAAAATATATTTTTGAAGAAATCACTGGAATATGTAGTAGAGTTAGAGAAAGTCTTTGTGGAAATATTTCAATTAAAGGTGAACAGGAAAAATAAAAATATATTAAACTTTTGATAGAATACAGAGATGAAGGAGATAAAGAGTGTTAGTGAACTTAAATGCCATTACTAACAGTACTTAATCGCAATTAAGTGCTTATTGAAGTATATGGTATATACATATAATATATGAAATTACATACATATTAAACGTATAAGACAGAATGTTGTGATATGAATATATACAGAAACAATCAAAAAAAATGGTTGTTAGTAGAAAAAAGCATGCAAAATTTTTTTTTTAGATATTTTCAAACAAACTTATTTGTTACAAATTTTTAAAGATAAATTTATGCTTTATTTTGCTATACTTGTTGGTAAAATTATCACTTAATCTTTTATTTTAATTATATTACATAAACCTTTTTTTAACTCAAACATTTTTTTCTATGGGCTTTTGAATTAGTTTTATATAGCAAAAATCATGCAAATTTTTTTTTAAGTTTTCAATTATTTTAGTTTTTTACTTTGATATATTTTTTGGTAAAATTTAAACTTTTGTTTTAATTCTCTACATTTTTTTAACTTAAAAAAATTTGTATTATTTAATTTTTTATAATAATTAATATTATTTTTTTATTAACTTTAAAAATTTTGTTTATTAATTTTTAACTTTTTTTTGTTAAACTTTTGACTTACTGTTTTTTTAAACACATCATCGGACATATATTATTCGCTTTAACATTATGTGTGATTTTTCGTATGCCATCTAACCAGATCTAAAATGGAAGATAAATGAGATGAGAAAAATGATTTCTTAGTTGTAATTCTTCGTGATATTCTCATTTAATTTTGCTCTTTAACTTATTTCGAAAAAAATTACTTCAATAAATTAGATTTTACTAAAGCAAAAAAAAAAAAAATATTTAATTAATGAAAAAAAAATAATGATACTAACAATTTAAATTGTTTTTATATTTGAAATAGCTAAAATTTAAAAATTCATAACCAATTTTTCTATTTTTTTTAAATGATTTTAATTTTTTCTGTAACCGGAAATAATTAGATTGTTTTTTTTTTTTGTATCAAACAAAATAATTCTCATAATAATAGTAGTAAATTTGAAACAAATTCGAAAAATGTAATAATATAAAATATTTCTTTCAAAAATTGCAGTAAAAGTTTAAAAACTCATAACATATTTTTGTATTATTAATAAACTTAAAAAAAAATGTCAGACACCTGGAAATATAAGGTTATATTAAAAAGAAAATATTTTACTCGTAAAAAAAGAATAATAAAAACTTAATAAAAATAAAAATAATTGAATAAAATATTATTTTTAAGATTTCAAATTTTTATAAACTCTTAAATAATTTTTTCCTAATACCAGAAATTATTAAATTATAATAAAAAGAAAATATTTTATTTATAAAAAAACAATAATAAAAACTTAATAAAAATTTTGAAAAATAATAATTCAGTAAAATATGTTTTGTGAGATTTTAAATAGCAAAAGTTTAAAAACTCATAAGATATTTTTTATTTTTAAAAATTTTTTCATTAAACTTAGAAAAAAAAATGTCAGATACCAGAAAATATTAGATTGTATTAAAAAAAAATATTTTATTTGTAAAAAAATAATAATAAAAACTTAATAAAACACTTTGAAAAAAAAAATTAAATAAAATATTATTATAAAAATTCATTACATATTTTTCTAATTTTTATAAAGATTTTATGTAACTTTTTTTTATAATATAAGATATAAAAAAACTCATTATAAGAAAAATTATTAAAAAAGAAATATTGTAGAAGAAACTATAGATGTATTTTTTTATTTTCTTTTTTGTATTTTTGCCTGTCTGTTTAATTTCTTTTAAATAAAATAATTAAAAAAAAATATTGAGATATAAGTTATGTACCTTTTTTTATAGAAATATAAAAACAAATTTAATTTTTATATATTTCTCTATAATTTTCTCACTGTAAAATTTTTTTCTATTTTATATTTCTTCTATTTCTATTGCAATTGGGTTATTTTTCTCCCAAAGGCATACACAATGTTCGTTTTCATGTTGAGTTTTTGTTGTTTTTTCTTATTGCAACAAACATTCAATTATTTTGCTTGCTTTTTGCCAACAACTGTTGCATTTAATGTGATTTTTGGACAAGCTACAATTTTAATTAAAAATTCTAAAAGGTCATTGTTGTCAAAAAACAAAAAAAATAGTAAGCAGCAGTTTTGCATGTCTGTATATAACGGCAATAAAACACTGTTGATATGTATGCGTGTGCATGACATAGTTTTCTGATGCAGTACAGCATGTCAGCTAAAGCCTCTTCTCGTTTTCTTCTTCTTCTTCTGTACTCGCAGACAATACACGCTGGCATTGTTGGCGAGCCACACAAAAGCCATGAACGCTTAGCATACGAGTATGCTATGCATATGGTATAAGTAACTGGGTATGTGTTTCTGTGGTTGTGTGGCACACACACACATGGGTCAGGAATTGCATTTATTGCTGCAATTTTCATTAGCAACGCAGATCCTATGGTCAAAAATTGACAAAAATTTTGATTGGAATGTAAGTCATTGGTTAACTGTACTCGCATTTTGCTTGTGTGCGTGTGTGGGTGTAAATAACAGGTATAGAAATGCGTGCGAAGCTATTGCAATCATCATTTAGTCTGCTGGTGGTTCTTTGCTTATTTTTTCGATTTTTTTAAGGGAAAATGGTATGCCATGTATATTTGTTATCGAAATACTTTTATAGAATTTAAGTATCATGGTTTATTTTTGTGTTACTAATACTTTAACCACTCAAAGTAAATTACTTATTAATATATTTTTTTAAATTTTAAGCCAAGAAGTGGCTTTTTCGAATAAAATTTTAAAATTGTCTATCCCTTTGGGAATATAAATATTATATTTTTACAAAAATTGTTTTAGTTGGGCCTTTTTTTAAAACCAAATTAATATTCTTATTGATAAAAATCATGAATTTTAAGACCAAAAAGAACTTTTTAAAATTTTCTTTCGCAAGGTTGAAGATATGTTTCAATTGGACCAATTATACTACTCAACTCAATATTATTATTAATAAACATCATTTTTATTAATAATACATTTTTTTATCTAGAAATAATATTTTCTTTTGAATATAGAAAGCTCACACTCGCAGTGTGTCATTTTCACAGGAATATTAAATTTTTTAAAGTAATTTTACTAAAAGTTTTCCCCTTTCCACACAGTAAATCCCATTCCGCATAATAAAATCTTGGTCAGAGTATGAAAATTTTTAACAGGGTTACATTTTTACTATTTTAGAGCTGATTTTTTTCTAAATATTAATTACATAAGCTTTAAATAAGTAATACTGAATTTTAAATGAAAATATCCCGTAATTACATAAGCTTTATTTAAGTATTAAAGCTAACTAACGCGTTTGTGAAAAGTACCTTAATCAGGGTTGCATTTTCTAGGATCGAATTACATATTATTTTATTACATATTCAGAGTAAAAATAATTTAAAGCAATTTTATAAAAAAACAATAAATTCATTTTGTAAAGATATTTCAGTGTGCGCTTTTAGCGAAATTGCAACTCTGGGTTATAAGACCGAATGTTTAAGCAAAAATTGTTTATTAATGTCTAAAATTTATTTCAAACCATTAAAGCGCTGTATTTACAGCACAACTCCAATCAGGATTGCTTTTTGGCAAACACAGTGCTGCATCTTTTATTACATTTAATTTTTTTCTTACTAGAGAATGTTTTTGCTTATTTTTAATACTTTCATGTTTGCAAATACGGGGACTGAAAAATTTTAAAATGGTAAATTTAAAAAAATTTTTATTTATATTGTATTTCTGGGAATATTTCATAAAACTTAAAAAAAATTATACTATCTAAAACTTTAAAACAGTTTCCTTGCATCAAAATGTAATGTATTACACAGAGTTGCATTGTATGATATAGCTTATGATTTTTCTCCATTTTTTCAACTTCAAATATAAATTATTTTTAACTTAATTTTAGAGTTGCATTTCCACTAGCAACTTGTACTTCACGAAATATAATATTGCACATAACCGAACACCTTTTAACCGTTTCAAACTTTGCTTTTACTTTTCGCTCTCTCCACTTTGCCAATATCCATTTACTTGCTGCAAAAGTGTGATAAACTTTTCGTACATTTCTTCATACAAATAAATTATACATCTAAAATCCCGTTCGCAAACATTAAAGTTTTAGCCAAACGTCAAAGTGTACCCAGTTGCCTATTTTCATAGCACTTGAGCGGTGTTAGGAGAGAGAGAGCATGGCTGTCGGCTCATAGTTTGAGAATTTAGCTATTGCATTTGGCTTTAATAATCTTTTCAGCTATACAATATTGCCAGAAAGCTTCAAGTGTTAGATATACATACATATGTACGTGTTAAAATATTTAAAAACGGTTGAAGTTGAAAAGTTTAGTTTAACAGTTAGGCAAAGTTACTTACTTAGTTTACCGAAATTATGTTAACGAAATTTTCCAAGATAAAATGTGTGATTTTGTACAAGAAGACGGCGCGAAAGCCTGATAAATTATTTAAGCTACTCTGAAGCTTTCAAGTGGATCATTTAGAATCAATAAAATTGATTTGTCCAATTATCGGCATCAAAATGTTATGCTCGTTTGACCAAGAAGACTCTTTTTCAACTCTGGTTATGTATTCCTTCATTATCGTTTCAGTTAAACGAAAAAAATAACATCGGACAAGAGGAAATTATCAGTTCTAGATTACTAGAAATGTTAGTAAAAATTTTGGTTGCTTTTAAGTTTTCACAATTTTCATTGCTAAATGACCTTTAAATCGAAAGCTAAGGAATAGTTATATTAAATATATGATTTGGTGTAATATAAATCACTATTTTAAATTCAAACTTATAAAATTTTAGAAGTCTTCTTGAAAGCTCTTATAAAAGCTTACAGTTAGAAACTTTTTTTTTATTATTCTTATGTAGCATAAAATATTATTTGTTAATTACAAAGTAAACCATAGCTTTCATTGAATTTAGTTACAGCTTTCATTTGTGGGCTTTCACAGGAAAGCTAAAAGCACTAAAATAAAACAATTCTCTTTGCACGAAATAGCGAAAAATACCATATATTTCGTATGGGATATATTTGAAGGCTTATGATGAAGAGCTTTTGCAACATCAAGTGGTGCTTTCCCAATAAAATTAATAAGGCAACTTGCATATATGTAGCTTAATTTAGTTATTAAAATTACTTTCACTACATAGCTTTCTTTTTTCTTAAGTGTAGCTTTCATCGAAAAATTGGTTGTTATTGAAAAATTGTACTAGTATTTTGCAGTTAAAACAGTACACGTTAGTCAACTGCGAAGCTTTCATCATACGACATTTAGCTTCAAAAATCAAATTGCATTTTTTGTAGTAGCTTTTACTTTTTTTAAGTAGAGCTTTCATAAAAAAATCGATTTTTTGCTTCGAAGCTTTTAGAGTAAAGCTGTATTGGGGACCTCAAAGTGAAAATAGCTGTGAAAACAGCTATTCAGCAATGTTTAACAGGAAATTTTGTTTTTTTTTATGGAAAGTTTTTAATTATTTATTTAAAACTCACCTTTGCCGTTGCTGCATCCGGACAAATAACATGATGATATGTTATGTTTATATAATCTGTATTCGAACATATTGTCAGTGAACGTTTATCCAAGGCCACCATATCGGTGCCATTCTTTTTTGTCACTTTGTCGAGAATTTTCGGGTCCTGTGTAGAAGATAGAAAAAAATATGATATAAATATGCGATAAATAGCTATAATATGGATAAATATATTTTTTTTAGAAAAATTTGGTGAATAATTTTTTTTGTTTTCGACAATATATTTTCGAAATATATTTTTTAAATTAAAAAACTAAATCAATATTTGTAAAAATTAAATTTTTTTCAATTATTTTTAAGAAAACTTTTTTTTTGCTGTAAAAAGCTGTAGACTATCCTTAGGTATTCGTATTTATATTCTCCGACCATTCTGCCCCAGCACCTTATGCTTAAATTATGAGCTTATATTCCACCTTTCCACCAATTTTTTAACCAAACAATTTTGTTTTGTAGATACGTCTTTATCTTTTTTCTTGCTGGTTTGTGCTCACAAATATTTGTTTTATGGTCTGAATAAATATTTTACTTTTGCGTCCAAGTTTTGGAAAGCTTCTAGTAGTTGGGGAAAATCAAATATGCTCATATTTCCACTTGTTCTACTTTAATTTGTTGGAATGGATATCACATACACACATGCTCACTACATTCATCCATCATTACTTTAGACACAGCATCATTCCAATTACAAGCTAACATATATAGTGGCGCACTACTTTCAAATGCATCACAGCATCCCTACTCTCGTTAACTGTATACAATTACATACATATAGAGCATGCGAAAGTGACGTGAAAACGAGTCAATGAGTTGTTGAAAGTTTCTCACTCAATTCTAAGTTGTAGAAAGTAATCGAAAATATTGGCGTAATATAAGTGGTGCCGGTTTGCTGGAGGAAGCTAAGAGGCATTAAATAATGAACTTTGTCAAAATGGTTTAAAATTAAGGAGAAATATTTCAGAAGCAAGTTTTGGATTTTGGGTTAAGGTTGAGAAGAATGGTATCAACAGAGGAAAGTTTCAACTTTAAATGGAAAATATTTGGTTAAGTCTAGGTCTATGCTAGGAAAGGGAAGACAGATTTGTTGAAGAAGTGTTCCAAACTACGGTACTAGGACTATTATGATAGGATTAAAATGAAGGAGTGCGCAAACGGCAAAGATAGACGAAAATTTAGTGAAGAAGCGACGACATGACCAATAATATAAGTCAATAACCTTTGGCTAGTTGATGACCTCCGTAGAGAGCTCTTCAGCTATTTACTAAGAGTATTTCTGCTTAAAACTTATCTTATATATCGCTAACGTTAAATTATTGAATAGAAGATATCGTGATGAACTCATTCCACCGAGATCTTAAGGGGGTATACTAGTGCAGAATTTCAAAACAATCCATTTTTTTCAAATTTTATAAGATTACCTATTTAAGAACATGTCGCAGAGAGGTTTTTTGAAAATTTAAATTACCGATTTACTTGAAATTTTCAGACCTCTCTCGAGCATGTACTAGCCTCATTCCCAAATTTTTACTATTTTTAATAAATACGAGAAAAAAAATGTAAAAAAAAAAAAATGGTTACACTTTAAAAATTACTTAAAATTCATGTCTCTAGACTAGAATACCCCCTAAAATTATTGAAATAGTGATTATTTGTAATCAGTATTTTACCAAAATGACTTTGTCTGATGAGAACTCCGATATTCATATTCATCATTCATACTTACTTGGAAGAATGAATGACTTCGACTCTAGACTTTATTAGACCATAAGGGGTCAACATAAATTCTATTCTGCCTTGGTTGAAAAACTGAGATCAACTGAAGAGCGTATTTCTTTTAGTTTTCCTTACGACCTTTACAGTAATGGTTTTCGCTTTAAACACCCCTGTTCAACATTTCCTTTGTCTTTTATAGAATTGAAATCGCTTTTAATAGTTTTGACTGAGATCTTGTGAACATAAATTTATGTGGTATTTGGTAAGTGGAACGTATTCGGAAGATATAGACACCTGCTAGTAAAATTGACCAATTTTCCGTGTCTGCTTACATTTATCAAACCTAAGTATTAGTTTGACCTTTAAATCTATGTATTTATTCGACATATTGAATTCAGTATCACTAGAAAACATTTGCAAATTCTCACTCTAGCCTACGAGAACTTTGTGGAGTATAACTTCTAAGCTTCCATATTTTTCAGTTTTTGCTTTATAGTTTCATCACATTTTTCTTCTCAAGAAATTGTCACTTTGATTCGCTTAAATTATCACACTTGCTTGATTGATAGTTTGTTAGCTGATAGCTAAACATACGCCGCCTGTCAGCCGCATAAGGCAGCATATACTTACAGCGGCTTAAGGAACGTCAAAAATAGCTGCCATGAGCTGTCACTTGAAACTGGCATAGCAATACACCACTCAAAGTTCGGAAATTAAATTTTAAATTTGTAATTTCCTTTTCAACATTGACACAATTTGTGAACACACCTACAACCACACACCTATGTGGTATTTAGTGATGGATATTACCGTTAACAACGGTAGCAAATGACAAGTTTAAGCGTGTTGTATGGAGGCTATATTAATTAATACATTTATTTGCGGAAAAGAGACGAGGTAGTGGTTCAAAGTGTATTAGTTGAGAGCATAGAATACGAGAAATGTTGTGAAGGCGCAAGTGAAAAAATACGAGCGGTGTTAGGTACATTCGTGAATAATCTGCGTAGTTAGTTGCGATACGATATTCGTGCTATTGTAGAGATTGACTAAATCAGGCCATCATTGTAGAAATCGTCGATAGCATAATGTTAGTATAAAAGTTGTGACTCAAATCGTTCTAAACGACAAATTAAGGGTGTGGCGCCTATTTTTTTTTTAGCATTTTCTGGTTAAAGAACTTAATATAATAATAATAATAAAGAGTAACATAATGAAAGCAGTGCTATTCTCTGTACTGATAGAGAGTCAAGGTAGTCCAAGGTGGTGCTGGGAAGTTTAGGTACCACTATTTTAGAGTACTCGGCTTCACATGCTCAATAAAATATTAGAAATAAGTTGTTCAATGGACGCTACAGTGATCGTATTTAACGAAAAAGTCTATCAATATCCATAACCGATGTGTTTTCTTATCGCTAGATATCATTATCGCTAGCTAAAATTATCGTATTTAACGAAAAAAATGATTAATTTTCATAAAAAATGTGTTTTGTTGTTGTTGTAGAGTTAGAAAAGATTTCCAAAATAATTTTATGGATAGCTAGCGAGTTGACAATGCTTGGCCGGATATAAATCCGGGTCCGTTGAAATTACGTCGGCGTGACTGTTGTGGCAACTTTCCATAGCTGTGGGTCCAAAGATCGGTTATAAAAATTATAGAAGAAAGAAACAGTGCAGCGCATAGGCATTACAACAACAAAAAAAAAAAATTAAAAAAAAATGTTCACGATATTTGGCATAGCTTATTTTCCAAGGCAAATATACAAGCTCCGAATAAATTGTTGAGTTCGCACCACTATAGCATATAGCTGCCATACAAACTGAACGATCAAAATCAAGATAAAGATATTTTTATTTTATATCTTTTTAGGCAAAAAGAAATGCAACTGTGAAATGTATTATACCTTCAGTGCAGCCGAAATTAACGCTTTTTTTCTTTTCTACTTAAAACTGTGCTGACTTATCCGACCACCCTCGTATATTATCGCACAAATTAATTTTTGACAGTTTTTCACATAAAACTGCATGAGCACGTTGCTTTAGCAACGCATTGCTGACCCAGTGGACCAGACATTTTGACTGCTGTTATACAACAGCATAATTGAGTTGTCAGCGTTAATGGAAATTGCTAATTGTAAAATTTATGTGGAACGCACACACACATAAGAAATACTGCATATTTGATGTTTGCACAAAAAGATCATTTAACGAGTGTTCTGCCAGCTTTTTGCTGCTTGGAAACAAAACTCACAAGTAATCATGGAAAAAGTGCCGTTAGTTTGAAAATTGTAATTGAAAATGTTTACTGCATTTTGGGAAAATTTAATTAATTGGCTGCAAGTGACTTGGAAATGCAAGCCAAAAAGGGAAATAAACGTGCATATACTTCAGTATATATACAAGTATGTATGTATTGTATGTGTAGCTGTCAAAATCATTGCGTTCATTACAGTTTGGCACTTACATTTTCCAAATAAATTCGATATAAAATTACGTACCATGTATAATACACACATACATATACATGCATATCACTACCTGCTTTATTCTCCTTCTCACTTGCTTATCGCAATTGCTTTGGCGAAGGTCAAAGTCGACTTTGACATGTTTGATAGTTTTAATTGGTTGTGTATGAAAGGTCAATTGGGAATATGCCACTGTTTAATTTGTTGAATGACTGGAATGGCTCGTTGGCTGGTCGGACAGGTGGACGCATGCAGCTCGTAATTAATTGGAAAACAAAAATTCAATTGAGTGAAATGAAAAAAATAGAAAAGCGTACAACAAAAGAGTGAAATGGTAATTAAATTAGTTTGTTGGAGTGGGGATAGCAGAGAGAGAAGGCGACTGTGAGTGCTAAAATAAGTAATAAAGAAGCAAGTACACAAGCACAAATTTTTGGCGAAGTTGCCAATTAATTGCGTGCGCTAAATCGTGAGATTTTAAAGTTTGCGAAATAGTTACGCATATGTTCTGAAAAAATTAAGTTATACGAAGAAAGCACAAAATTGTCGGTCTGTATATATGCGTATTAGTCCTTCCGTTTTTGAGATATTGATTTGAAATTTGGCACACATCATTTTCTTCTCAAGAAACTACGCAAATGTCGAAATAGGCAACATCGAATAAATATAGCAAATAGCTGCCATACAAACTGAACGATTGAAACAAACTTTTAGTATGGAAACTTTTTTTATTTAAAAAGATATTTTGACGGAATTTGGCATGGTTTATTGTTAAAAGCAACACTGCAATCTCTGAACATATTGTACTAATTGGACCACCATGATATATAGCTGCCATACAAATAGACCAATCAAAATCAAGCTAAAGATTTTCGATACCCTTTTATACTATAAGAAATACAATATACCGTTATTTATATATGCATATGTAAGT